TAGCACCTCCACCAGGTAGGTCAGGAGAGATGAAATCGACAACAGTCCGTTTGCTGCTTATGAAATAAACTCTTATAAAATGTGCTAGAGGAAGAGGGTGTATGAATGGCCAGAAAAGCAATGATGAGCGTACTTGGGAATTTTTCTGGCCACCCCTCCACTGGCACAGAAAATGAAGTGATGAGCTGTAAATATGTGCATAGAGGAGTTTGGACTTTATTGTTTGTAAAATGTGAAGATTTGCTCTTGGACATTTTTTTTTTCTTTTCACGGGGGGCAGTCGGGATTCTAATACACTGTAGCAGTTGGCTGGGGGAAAGTCTATCAAATTCCACGACCAATTGGACTTTTCTCCCCACCTGGAATATAAAATATGTAGTCTCATACTGATTTTTTTCAATGCATGGGGGTTCAACATAAAAGGCACAAATAAATAAAAATATCATTAAATAAACGGAAATTACAATTTCAAGTTTCATGTGGAGTTGTATCTCACTGTTTTGGTTACTTTTTCCAATTTAATTTGACAGACTTAGTAATAGCACCCAACTGTTTAACTGAGGTAGATCCACATTGTAAAGAAAGCTGGGTCCCTTCCATTTTATCTCTAAATTTATGATGCTTTTATGAAAACAAAAATCCATTTAAATCATATGCAGAAGAAATGACAGGTGGTACTACCTGAAGAAAGCTTAGAACATGAGCAGGTTTGCAAATAAGACCTACGCCCAAATTGCACTCTCCATCAGCCATACAGAAATCTCAGACTGGAGGGGGAAAAAAAAATCAAACATGAAAAAAAACAAAAACAAAAAAAACCCTGAAAAAGTCACAAGACTTTCAGAACAGGTCTTTTTGACTGACTGTCACAGAAATGCGCAATGGTCCATTTTCATCAAGCTATGGCAATAGCCAAGCTGGACGAGAGAGACAGAGACAGAGAGAGAGAGAGAGAGACAGAGACAGAGAGGTGTATCACCGAATACTTCCCTTTTTAACTCCAGAAAAAATAACTTGAATTATGATACAGCATCTCGATCTGAACAGTTTACACTCACTCTGCCTAATATTTTTGCATACTCTGAAACTCACAAATTTAACATCTGATTAAGGCTTAATTTAAAGTGGCTTCGCCACCTAGTATCATGCAAGCATGGACATCTTCAAGACACACAGCATGGTATTCAACTAAAGACAATGACATGAAGCCTCAGAATTGTATTTAGCAGGTACTATAATTTTATAATTAATTTTACAATTCATGTAGCAAATGGAAAATCATACAGAGAGGCCAATGTATATAAATAAGAGTTTATACAGAAACTGTCAATTTACAAAACAGCACTGCATGGTTTCTATATTGCAAGCACAAGACATGGTCAACAGTTCCACCGTACAGGGAGAAACAAGCCCGTGGACAACACATAGAGTACCACCTGAAACGAGGCCCTAGAGCTGCTCAGCTTCTTAGAAAATAGTGAACTGGTCATTATACATTTTGATTCAAAATGTCTTCTAAAGTGTTTTTACTGTGGGAGAAAATTAAGAAGGGGCAAAAATCCATCTATGGAACTTCGGAATTCATTTTTGGTTCTTTTTCAATTATTTTATAAAAATAAAATAAAACTAGAAAAATTGATAAAACTAAGGGTTAAAACCCCTCAATATGTATTAGGTAAGTAATCTGAAGTGTACCAGAGGTAAGAAAAAGCTGGATTTAGATACTACATTCTTTTCCTGTATTTAATGAGTAATTAGCCACTTTGCTGCACAGAAACTTATAAATTATTCTCTCAAAACTTTTTTAAAAATAAAAACTTGCTTGCCTCTACAGTTATAAAACATGAATTCATACCTTTAACAACTACATTAAAATCCACTATCAAACTCAGGCCTGGAATTTCAACGCCACGCCACCCTCCACACTAGGGTTTCAGTCACGCATGTTTGTTTGGCTTTAAAGAGGAATTGGAATCGCCGCCACAGCGCTCCCTCTGCAGCCTGTGCCTCTGCGGAGGGAGAGGCCATTCCTCGAAAGGATGGAGGGTTGGGGGAGAAAGAGGAGAGAGCCAAGAGGAACCACCAAGAAGAACTTGTTAGGTATTTAAGAAATAAGTGGCCAGGCGCGGTGGCTCACGCCTGTATTCTCAGCACTTTGCGAGGCTGAGGTGGGCAGATCACGAGATCAAGAGATCGAGACCATCCTGGTCAAGGTGGTGAAACCCCGTCTCTACTAAAAATACAAAAATTAGCCTGACATGGTGGCGTGCGCCTGTAGTCCCAGCTACTAGGGAGGCTGAGGCAGGAGAATCGCTTGAACACAGGAGACAGAGGTTACAGTGAGCCGAGACGGCACCACTGCACTCCAGCCTGGTGACAGAGCGAGACTCTGTTTCAAAACAAAAAAAAAGGACATGGGATTACTTCCCCGCTTAAAACCAATAAAATCACCCCTTGACAGGGAAAGGTGGCTTCTCATTAGGCCACTGGCCAAGAAACTGCTCAATACCTGGCTTGAAAAAGCTAGAGATAAAAATTGCCTGTCGGGTAAGTCAAAACTCGTGTCCCACGTGCACAGTTCAAGGTGACAGCACACCTAAGTAAGCGGTTTCCTAGGAAGCCACAAAACAGAGCAGCAGCAATGAAGAGCGTTCCAAAATGAGGGTCACAGGACTGAATAGCACCTTACAGCGGAGGACTTCACACACATTCTACAAAGACATGATTCCAATTCCTTTTAAAAAAAAACCTACTTCCATTACAATAAATACTCTTGTCAAGTGACTATGAGAACAAGACCACCAGGCTTTGCTGATGGTCATGGTCAACGCCTAAGAGATGGGTCTTGCACCAATCTCCCGCGATCCTGGCAGAGGGGGACTTGGTCAGGGTATGGGAGAAACCACGCGACTGGAACCAAGTGTTTTCCGAGACCAAGTGCGTCCTCCGTGGCTCCAGACCACGTGGCATCACAGTTTACAAGTCAGGGGCTGAGGAGCGGAAAGAAAGCTTCCAAGGCTGGAGGTCCATGCCTGCCTTGTGGAATGGCACTGGCTTAGTTCCCCAGAGAAACGCAGCCCCACATGATTCTGAAAGGACACTGAGGACCGGACTTTAAAGGCACAGAGTCTAAGACTGGGTCTTCCAGAACGCGATCAGGCTGGCGCTGGTGGAGACCAGAGGAAGGCCTGGGCACCACCGGCCTCTTGGGACAGAGGGGCCTGCCCTCTCCCACCCAAGACTGCACACACAACTCCCAGAGTTCAAAGGAGCCCTGGACCCCTACACGAGCACCTGATCTATGAAGTCGCCTGCATGGCGCCCCGCTGGCCGGTGGCATGGGGTGTTCTTGGGATCAACTCACTCATTTTAAGGACCTTGAAGCTGCAGAAAGAACTGAATGAGAATGGCCCCAATGTCCAGTTCCTGGAGACACTTGGGGGAAAGAGTTAATATTTGGTGTTTTAGCTTTAACTCCAAACTACTTAAATCCAAGGTGGTTTTAAATAGGAGATAATTCAGCCTCTTCCTACCCCCCCAAAAGGGAGTTGGGGGGGTGAGGTGAGGACTTAACCCTCTAGTCATACCACCCGCGGCATTTAAAGACCTAACAACACATCTAAAATTTCCACACCAACCAGTAAGATAGAAACGTGTTAACAAAAGCACCAGGAATCCTCAGTTCTCTCACTTCTGAGTAAATTCTTAGGAACGCTGAGACGGTGGGAGACGCAGGTGAGGGAAGCTTGCGGTGGATCTGCGAGCCGCAGCTCCATGACCAAGTCGAGGAGCGAGCCGCTGCAGTCTCCCCAAACACCCTGGACCAGATTCGGGCAGAAAGCCCGAGGCCAACCCGGTGGAAAGGAGCAGCCAATACCCAGGGCGGCAGGCAGTGGGACACCCACCCCCCACCCCGAGTGCCCAAGCCTCCCGAGCTCTGTTCACATGGAACAGTGTGGTGGCAGAATGACAAAACATTCTGAGAGACTGCAAAGGACACTTAGCTATTCCGGAATTCAAGCGCTCAACACAGCGTAGAAAGCATGAAACCCAGAACAGCAGCGTTAAAGGCAACCGCTTCCAGGTAATGACTGTGAACCCCCAGGGCCAAATTCAATGTCTGCTGAGCCGCCAACATGAGGGCGGGGGGGCCCCCTCCAAACACCCAGGCGCCTCCAACTGTAAGACCATCGCCTGTCAACTCAGGAGTAAACTGATGGAGATGTTTTGCAGAGAGCGCTCACCTGAAGATGGGGGATCGCAGGGAACCCAAAGCAAGAAGCGAAAGAGGCCCGGGTCCGCAGCACAGTGTAGGGGGAAATGACATTTCTGACAGCAAAGTGGTTAATCATGGGGAGGGGTGTTCAGAGCCATCCGCGCTCCCAGAACCGACTTCCTGCAAGTGAGCTGTGCAAACTTCAAACACCAGCTGTGGGCCCTGTGTTCATTTCAAACAAAGGACCCTGGATTAGAACAGAAGACTTTGCTTTCAACCCTTAGTTTGTTTTGCAGTAGAGAGTGAGAGTAACCCAAGGTCCCAAAGTCAAAGGCCAATGGCATCTGCATCGTCCTTCAAACCATGCAACTATTTTAAATCTATTACTTGCATGAGAGTTGGTGTTGAAGCACCTTCGTGATTTTACAGAGCGTATAAAAGGGAGGACAGGATAGAGGAGGCCATTTGCAATCCATTTGTAGGTAAAGCAGAAAAAAAAGTGCTTTCTTATATTAAACAGGAAAGTGGAAAGCCGGGTAGGACACAGGCTATCTCAAGGTTTTGCCACGCGCAGCCCTGCGCAGATGCTCCCGCCAGCAAGAAGGACAGCACGCTGTCCCGTGCAGAGAGCCCTCCCATGCTGTTCCTGCCGGCCGGAGAATCCTAGCATCTCAGAGCTGCGAGGCACGGAGGCGACCCTGGCCCACCTGACCCAGCAGAGGAGGAGGGGGCTGCCTGTGGGTCACAGTATGGCACACACATTTTCAAGCCAGAACTGAACAGATAGATGTTCACAATTCAGTTTATTCAGGCAACGTCTTGGCTGTTTTCAGTGTGGACAGCTACACTTAAGAGCAAACATGATGAATCTACTGGGAATTCAGAGGTAGCCTTTAACTGCATTTTTTTTTTTTTTTAACTAAAAGGTATTTAGGAACCACCTTCTGTAGTAATTTGGCTAAGCCAATACATTCACTTTAGACAATAACATGGCAAAACACATCCAAAGAAGCGTAAGCGAGGGCACCGTAATGGCACTGCTGTGACTCGGACACACGCACAGACTGGTGTGGGCTGAAAAACTCCTTGCTAGGTCTGACACAGGGTAGCCTGACCACAGAGTGACACACGGGGGCTACGGCACACGCTGCTACTCTGGCAACACGACCGGCACAAATGATGGCTTTGACACAACAGTGACCTCATGGCTTAAAAATGACTCTGACCACAGAGAGGCAAAGGAGGCCCTCGCGTTCTAGCAGCAGGCACAACAGGTGCCTCCCGTCCGGACTGCCCAGCGCTGGGTAGAACTCGGAGACCACGCGTTGGAGAGCGATGGCAAGCGACGAGGAATCAAACAGATCAAAACAGCATTCACAAGACTGCAATGAGCCTGCCTAGGACTAAACCATCAGGCATCAAGAGACCATGTTCTCCCAGTAACAGACCTAAAACTTCCCTTCAGAAGAAAAAGAAAACGAGGCGAATTTGTCCTTCATCAATGGTCAACAGACACAAAGCTCATGGGCGGAACAAAGTTAAGTCCACACAACTCTAACACATAATACTGAATACGAGGCAGTGTCTCCACAACAGAGCCCCGTGTGCATTCATATCACTTCTACCAGAAATCTATTTACAATCATCTCAAACAAGTACAGCAGATGCGAAGCTGGACATCGTATAAAGAAGTTGTCAAAAAATCAGTGCAATTATTTTGAGTTGAAGATTTTCCTTACAAAAGAGAGTCAGCATGTGTGTGTGTGTAACAGGGGCACCCGCATGACAAAGTCACATGTGCACTGCATCTACACCGAAAAGCGTCACAGCAGACGAAACTGCTGGCGCGGCAGCTAGAGCGCAACTTCTCAGTCACTTTGGGGAAGGGCTTCAAACATAAATAAAATACTCGCGTTCTGCAAGTGAGGCGCATGAGCACTGAGGAAGTTTCTATTTATTGTACATTCCTTTTCTCATGAGCGTGAGAGATGGGTCAGAGAGAGGTCACAGGAGAATGTCGTATGGCTTGTCTGGGCCACTGGGATTGTCCACTGTCTGGATTATGTCAACTTCTAAAGCTCCTGCTAATGGAACTGCCTTATGTGTAGGAAAATGCCCATGAAAAATCCTTTTGACTGCCCAGCGGGTCACGGTCCTGCTGAAGGACACACCCAGTTCCCAGAGGCGCAGGGAACAAGCCACCAGCCACCAGCACGAGCAGCCAAGAAGCCGCCCCAGCCCCAAGGCCTCCCGGGGACATGCCGGTGTCTGGTCACCTGACTCAGGGTCAGTCAATCCTTAGCATATTGTATCAAATATATAATTTGACTGAAAAACTGCCTTGTAAAAATAAAATTTAAACCACCCTGCAGACCAATGTAAAATTACACGGCTGCATATATAAGAAAAACAATTCATCCAGAAAAATCACATTTGTGGCTTTCAAAAATAAATCATCCAGCAAACTTGAAGGTAAACATTAGGTAATTTATAAAAATTGGGGAAATAATTCCTATCATATCCATTAGGTACCACATGCATTGGAATATCTGTGTTGGCCAAACCAAACCCGAGCAGAAAGAAAAAAATAAATAGCAACACTTGCATTTAACAGCAATAAAAGTAACAAATAACAACAATAAAAACCCCAGCCACTAACCCCGCTCCAGGAAGTGAACTGACATGACCTGTTCTAACGCGCAGTCACTGGGGTAAACATTAGTGATAGCAGTTTAGGTCAGCCTCTGACAAACAACGCGGCGGTCACTGCCTGCTCCCTACAGCTCCCTCTCGGGCAAGCTGGACAATGGCCACGCATCGTTTGTGATTCTAGAGTGCAAACGTTCATTCAAAGGAGTGTGAGACCACCACTGAAAAGCATCATCATCTTCAAAGGGCAGACCCTAACGTGCTATCAAAATTCTCCATGTGAAGACGGCTTGAACCAGAGAAAACCAAACCCTACGGAAAATAATCCCCTTCTAGAAGTACAGCTATGCATGCCCAGTTTTACAAAATCTCTCCAAACCAGGAAAATCTGAGCTTGGGATACACAAACAACAGGTTGGTGGCTTCCCACCACCGAAGGTCTCTCCCCCGAGGGCAGCTTTCCACGGCTCCCCGGGTGTTCGTGTCCATTAACTGCTTTGCCGTTACAGCAAGAACTTGTCAAATGGGACAGGTTAGGGGCAAAAGGATGGGAGTACATTAATGCTTTCAAAAAGTGAACATGTAAAAATATACCAGGAAGAGTCCCAGTACAGGAATCAAATTGGGAGACCTCTTTTAAAGAGATGAGATAAAATCCCAGTTTTTCTTTTAAACAAACCCAGACTTCTACGTCGTTATTTTCACATTCAGTTTGCTTAAAGCAAGGCACACCTTACTTAACAGTGGGATGGGGACAAAGCCAGCGAGTGGGCACCCCTCAAATCTGAACAGGCCCAGGTATTTTGGGGAGGACAGCCGTGGACAGGGAAGGAGGAGGCCCCAGGCACCTGTACAATCAGTTGCTCAGACGCTGGGGAAGGGGCCGCCTCTGGCTTCCACGTGAATAGGGCTGGGACCTACCCTAATGTACTCTGAGGTTGTACACTGTCTCAAAATTTAGCCTAATGATGCAGGGATTGCTAGAAATTTGAGAAAAACAACTGTTTACCTGAGAAATTGTAACTACAGCCATTTAAACTCTGAATCATCAGACATGTACAAAGGTGTGCAGCCGACCCAGCTGGAGATGTTTGGTCTATTCATGTTTTTAGTATTATAAGTTTTATAAAACAGGCGCAGGGCTATAAGAAGTACCCTTCTCAAAGTACTTTGACCCACTAAAAGAAAACTTTGCTTCAAAAGGATTTAAGAAAAAAATTGTAGTTCTACTTTTCTGCCAGCTCAGTCTGTCCCATGCACCCACTCAGGAAGTATCCCCTCCCTGCTGGGGGTTGCCAGGGCTGGGTCCCAGACCCCAGGGAGCCCAGGGCCGCGGCCATCACTTAGAGGCAGATGCCAGGCCAGCCATGAAGTACCTCCTCAGGAGGTAGGAGCAGGCCCACAAATCTGCATTATAAACAAGAACCACCACCATCCCCCGGACAGAGAGCCTGATGCAGGTGGAAGAAACACACCTTTGAGACACATGGTTCCAGATAATTCTAAAAATGGCTGGAAACTAATCTAATTTCAGATGTGAAAAGTTTATTAGTCAAAAGATTCCCCCTTAGCTTGAATGCATCTGTTAATTTAAGCTGCGAGCGTCTCTGTCTCCTTCTGAAAACAGGAGAAAGTGCCCTGGCCTACAAAACAACAGGGAATTGCGACTTCTTAGAGTGGGGGCTTCTGTCATTTAAAAAGATAAAAAAAAAAAAAAAAAAAAAGATACAGCCAAAAGAGACTAATGCCGTTAGTAAGACACACACACACACAGGGACACACACACACACACACACACACACAGGGACACACACGCCACTCTGAGTACACATCTTCACAAATAATAGTCATCCCTTTGTCATTGCCGCCAACATCCAGGCGAGGCTCCGGGGACCCACCAACCCGTGGCTCGCCACCCCTCCTGCCACCTCCGAAGCAGCTGAGCACAAAGGCGGAGGGGGTGCCGCTCAAAAGCAAGCAGCTCCTTTGGCACCCCACCCCACCGCAGTGCCGAGGTAAGTGTCACGCAGGGCCGGGGAGGGGACAGCAGCAGGAAGAGGGGACCTATGGAGCGCAGAGCAGCACTAGGGGAGGCTCGCCTCCTTCCTGACGCCTCTAATGGAACATGGATTGGAGTCTTACTGAAGCTGTACAGAGACAAAAAGCCCACTTAGCACAAACAGTCGTCTGTTCTTAGCTTTCAAAACCGTCCGTGGTGTCACTCTTAGTGCAACGGTTTCTAAATTGGCACACCCACGTCTGGGGCCCCCAATGCAAACCCCAGCAGAATGCCCCGTGCCCTCTGCTGGCCTTGCCATCCTCGGGCCTCCCAGGGCCAGGCAGGCTCCTTCACTGTGACCGACGGCCTCACACCCAGCAGAGCCACCACCAACAGCTTTCTATGAATCTCAGTGCATACATCTATGAACCTCATCTGACAAAAGCGCACACGGAGCGGGGAGAGGAGTGCGCCCCACACATGAATGTGTTTCCCAGCAATGCAAGAATAAATTACTTCCACTTGTGCTTCATTAGCTGAGTGACACACGGGGATGAGGCGGCAGGGAGGGTGGCGAGCAGTGCGGAGGGCACACCCGCCCCTCCCGAGGGTACAGGCTGCACAGTCTCCACGGGGGGAGGTGGGCTGCTGTCACGTTAAGTCAATTGCATATTCCTGTACTTAAGCACTAAGAACTGAGAGGCGGTCCCACCCCCAGGCTCCAAAACACTCTTGATATGCTAAACAGATCACAGAAGCACCCCATAGTCAACAAAATGAAAAAACAGCATCTATCTATCACATTAATACTGCAAACCAGATATATATATTTTTCTCTTACATTAAAGACATGACAGTGAAAAAGGATTGTACTGTATTTACCACCACAGACCCGTATTCTTTAGAAACTTTGGAAAATAAATGTCACAGTCCTATAGGACAAATCTGATGATTAGACTGTCAGTATATTGTCTTTTTTCTTTTTTTTTTTTAAATACATTTTTATTAAAATGGCACTTGTCTGCCAACCTCTCTGGACCTGGAAATGCTGTAAACACACGGGGCCCACCTTCTGCCACTGCTCCTTGGTTCAGGCTGGGTGAAGGGCGGTGCTGGCAGAACACGGCACCTGCGGACGCCTCTGCACGGCCACCTGCTCTTGGCTGAGGAGCTTGGGTGAGCCACGCCTGGAAATCAGCTTTAGTGACAACATCAGAATGTTCAAGGCTTTAAAACCACAACTGTGTTTTGTGTTGCTTTCTCTCTCAGAAGATTCACAGCTAGTTTGAGCCCATCAATTTCATAGAGAATCATGTATTAAAAACAAGTAAATTGAATGACCAAATAAATTAAAAATGTTTTAAAGCCCTGAGTTCATAGACTGGTTTTAGGAGATTTTTAGGAAACACGGGACTCTATTTTAGTAAGCAGCTTATAGATTTTAGCAAACCATATTTCCTACGACATTGGGTTCTCATACAGGTCTGCAGTTCAAAATCCAAGTTTGAAATCTGGGACGGAAGGCATTCTGGAAAACGGAGAATCTAATAAAATCAATGACGTCTCATGTTCGATGCTGGCTGTCACGGAAGGGCTGGCCGTCTGTTGGTCTGAGTGTAGCTGGTCTCGTGAATCCCCCTCAATACACAATCGCTAAACACTAAAACATGTCAAGCAAAGTACATGGTGCGCAGAGTGTCTTGGTGAACCTGGACCGCCTTGGCCAGTGCTTGGTGGTCTCGCCCGTTACTCTGCCCAGAGGTATGGCTTCCTTCAGCACTGCAGGGATAAGAGAGAGAGAGAATGAGAATACGCCGCCTTAATGTGCCATGAGGCGGTGCAACAATAACTAAGTCAGGATGGCATGCGGGGCACCCCTTCTGGAGTGCTGGCTCCAGCCGCTGGGGCCCTGCTGCTTCGCCTTCCGGAAAAGCCGCTGCCAATACCCGTGCCAAAAGCACAGCCCTGCCGTGACCTCCAGCCAGGTGTGCCACTTACCTGTCATGTTCCTTATCCACCAGGTGGTACCTGGCCCGGAAGGCCACCAGGTGAGCGTAGTATGCTGGCGCCGGGATGGACACGGAGCGTGTGCAGCGCACGTAGGTGTGACACAGCTGGTAGGTTAGAATCTGCAGCTCATCAGAGGAGAAACGATTGTCATCCCAAAGGACGTGATAGTGCGAAGGCCTGCTTGTCCCCTAAAAGCAGATCAGAAAATTGGATAGTTGGACTCCCCATCAAATCTTTAAAAGGATACTGTGTAAAAAAAATTTTAAAAAAGGCTGGGTGCAGTGGCTCACACGTGTAATCCCAGCACTTTGGGAGGCCGAGGCAGGTGGATCACCTGAGATCAGGAGTTCGAAACCAGCCCGACCAAGGTAAAACCTGTCTCTTTAAATAAAAAAATGCAAATTTTTTTCAAAAAAAGGATACTGTGGAAGAATATTTATATGTGTATTATTAAAAATGCATCATAGGCCAGGCGCGGTGACTCACGCCTATAATCCCAGCACTTTGGGAGGCCAAGGCGAGGGCATCACGAGGTCAGGAGTTTGAGATCAGCCTGGCCAACACAGTGAAATGCTGTCTCTACTAAAAATACAAATTAGCCAGGTGTGGTGGTGCACGCTGTAGGCCCAGCTGCTCGGGAGGCTGAAGCAGGAGAATCACTTGAGCCTGGGAGGCGGAGGTTGTGGTAAGCCGAGATCGTGCCACTGCACTCTAGCCTGGGCAACAGAGTGAGACTCTGTCTCAAAAAAAAAAAAAAGGGGGGGGCGGGCATCATAACAACTATATACAGCAAATGGCCCCACATTGGTAAAACTGTACATATTCACACATCAAAAAATCATAGCAAAAATACAAAGCAGTATTAAAAGTGGATATATACAGTTGACTTTGTAACTAAAAAAAAAAAAGTAGATGTAACAAGGACAGTGGCATTGATGTATATTATGTTTTATGTAATTTACTTATAATGGCAAGGAAAAAACCTCTAATGAAAGTTATACATTAGGCCTGGCATGGTGGCTTACGCCTATAATCCCAGCACTTTGGGAGGCTTAGGCAGGCAGATCACGTGAGGTCAGGAGTTCAAAACTAGCCTGGCCAAGATGGCGAAACCCAGTCTCTAGTAAAAATACAAAAATTAGCCGAGTATGTTGGTGTGTGCCTATAATCCCAGCTACCCAGGAGTCTGAGGCAGGGGAATCGCTGGAACCCGAGAGGCAAAGGCTGCAGTGAGCCAAGATTGCGCCACTGTACTCCAGCCTGGGCGACAGAGTAAGACACCGTCTCAAAGAAAAAAAAGTTACACATTAGCAGTAACACTGTAGAAGCAAGAGTGTGAACGTGAGTACCACTTTACATACCTCCTGGGGGTGATCGTTTGAAATGAAAGCAGCACCAGCTGCTGACTGTGGGGCTCTCTGCCACCTCTGCCCGCCTGCCTGCCCGCCTCCCAGGCCCTTCCCACAACAACCTGTCCAGCACAGTCCCTGCCACCTGCTCCGTGTCTGGACCGGTGCTGAGGGCCCTGGTGCTGGCGGGCCGTGGAACATTCGTCCCTGATGCTCCACTGCACACGCTCTGGCACTCCTTTCCTGGCATGTGACTAGTGGCTGTCACAGGGGCCCAGGGGAAGTGAGGGCATCTGTCTCCGTGGGTTTGCTAAGGACACAGCAGCAGTGGCAACCTTGGGCCATAAACAGCCCACCAGAGAAGCATCCCCAGTTAGAAAGATTTTGGGCAGAAAGTTCAGGGAGAAGAGTTTGCCCAGGAAACACGCCTAGGAAGCCCTGCTGGGTAAGGCTACCTGACCAGGAGGGAAGGGCAAACACAGGCAGGGCACGGCCCCAGGTACATCTCACCAGCCCTGGCAAAGGAAGCCAGGGCCGGGACAGGTGCTTTGGACCAAGAAATGTCACAAACTCTGCGCACACTCCATCACTTGCTTCTCACTAAGGCTTCCAACAGCGAAACCCACTCTCCGCTCCCAGGCCGCCGTCTAGACCAGCCCCCATTCTTTCTCTGTCAGGCATGTGAATAATGTGACATTTTTAGATATTTCCAATGTAATATTAAAGGTATGTACAAAGTTCACAGCAAATCCTCAAACTCCAGGGTTCAAATCCTTTGGGAAGGGATATTCAAGTCCTTACTTATACTTTAAAATCCAAGAGCCCCTGTGATGAAGCTCCCTGCAGGCAGGGATGGCACGTGATCAAGGCTCCTCCCGTCCCCAGGCTGAGGCTCTGCAGAGCCGGGTGGGGCAGGTGTTTCCGCGGACATGGTGTTCCTGTGGGTCAGGGCTCACCAGCATTGCCTTCAGCCAGATGGGGGTCCCCTCAGGAGGGAACCCAGGAAAGCCCCGAGGTGATAACCTGATAACCAACACCGTGGCCAACTTCTCCGAGTGCCCAGTCCTTGCCTGGAGTCTGGCCCTGGCCAGTGATTGTGCGAGGAGGGACAGCAAGGCTGACTGCGCCAAGTGCTTGTGAACTGACATGGAGGCTGCCCCACGTGGCCCCTACAGCAGCCTTCCTAGCCGCCACCCCATGGCAGCCCGAGCACCCCATTCCTGCTCAGACCTCACCTTCCAACTCATGAAGCTCCAGGCGCACCACACCCCCGGCTCCCCAGGGGCCTTGGCACTCCTGGCTCCTCAGCCCTAGCAAATGGGACTTCCTTCCTCTGGGAATCCCATGCTGACCACCCCACTGTCCCCACCAGCGCCTCACATAGCCTGGGTCCTGGGTCCCCTGGCTACTGCCTGTCTGGGCCCCTCATACCACATCTCACGTGCCAGCCAGAGCACAAGTGTTTGCTGAACACGGAGATGACATGGCAGATGGCCAAGACTCTGTACAAAAGGGGCTCCCGTCCTTACCTGGATGCCAGCATGGCTGCACAGGTAGAAGTCGAACTCGGTGGGGTGGGTGATTTTCGTGTCCACAGTCGTGCCTGCTGGAATGTTTCCACTTTTCCCAACCTTCAGCAACACAGGCATCTCGTTAGACACGGCCAGCGACCGGCAGAGCCAAGCAGGTGAGCCAGGCAGCCGTGCCACCTGCTGGCCAGGGTGCCCTATTTTGAAGTTTGTAAATTGGCTAATACAGGTGCTGGGTGGTATAGCTTTAAATAAAATTTAACAAGTGCTAACCACCAAGTTAAATTAGTTAACACTCTATGTGGGGTGGGGTTATTTTCTGTCAACTCTCATGAAGGCCCATGAGTTAAATGCAGTCTTTTCACTGCAGAATGTGCCTTTAATGCCTTAAGAGTTCTTCACTATGTTTGGTGTTATTTTGATTTGAGGTCACGACGGAAACTGTCACCAATATACAACTCTAAAGCCAAACCGGGTGATTGGCTGTAGACAGGACATCAACCAAGTGCAGGCACACCAGCGCTCCAGGTGGAGGAGCTGGGGGGCTCCGAACGTTGTCAGGAGCACCTGCTCCCAGCACCTGTGACAACGGGGCAGCTCCATCGGAGACTGTCCCAGAGGCTGGGAGCAGTTCATTTAAGCATTCAATGGTGGAATTACAAGGTCACAAGCATGGGTCAAAAAGCCAGCCAATGGCCGGGCGTGGTGGCTCAAGCCTGTAATCCCAGAACTTTGGGAGGCCGAGGCGGGTGGATCATGAGGTCAAGATCTCCAGACCATCCTGGTCAACATGGTGAAACCCCGTCTCTACTAAAACTACAAAAAATTAGCTGGGCATGGTGGCGCGTGCCTGTAGTCCCAGCTACTCAGGAGAATTGCCTGAACCCAGGAGGCAGAGGGTGCGGTGAGCCGAGATCACGCCATTGCACTCCAGCCTGGGTAACAAGAGTGAAACTCCGTCTCAAAAAAAAAAAAAGCCAGCCAAGAATCAAGCACAGCCACCACAGCAGCAAATTCCCACCCACAAGCCCGGCCCAGCATTTAGCAGGGTCCCTGATGATTTTTTTTTTAGTTGTACAAATATTCCAAATATACATACAAAAAAGAATCTCCAGTGTGCTCCCTTCCTTGTAAGCTTTTTTTAAAAATATATTTTTGTGATTTAGAGGCAGGGTCTCGCTCTGCCGCCCAGGCTGGAGCGCAGTGCTGCAACCACAGCTCACTGCAGCCTCAAACTCCTCAGGCTGTCCTCTCACCTCAGCCTCCCAAGTAGCTGGGACGACAGGCACATGCCACCACACTTAGCTAAGTTTATATTTTATTTTCTGTAGGGTCAGGGTCTTGCTATGTTGCCCAGAATGGTTGTGAACTCTCAGCCTTTAGTGATCCTCCTGCCTCAGCCTCCCAAAGACTAGGATTACAGTCATGAGCCACAAACCTGGTCTAGATTTTTAAACAAATATTCGGAAATGGTTGTCTGCTCTGGATCTCTTCTAGACCATGTCCCCCCCGGCTCCTTTTCCTGGTGCAATCTCAAATAGACTTTATTCTTTCTACACACACTTAAAATGTCCTTGCTACATATTCAAGTATCCACTAGTACTATAATTTATTGCTTTTAAAGTCTTAAAACTGTAGACATGTATCGCATTTACATATTTTGCTACTCGTTCTTTTGCTCAATATTACAATGTTGAGATGTATCCATTTGATAGATACAGTTTACTAATTTTCATTACTGTATAGAAATACTGACATGTGGCTGGACACAGTGGCTCAGGCCTGTAATCCCAGCACTTTGGGGGGCTGAGGCAGGCAGATTACCTGAGGTTGGGAGTTTGAGACCAGCCTGACCAACATGGAGAAACCCGTCTCTACTGAAAATACAAAACTAGCCAGGCGTGGTGGCTCATGCCTGTAATCCCAGCTACTCGGGAGGCTGAGGTGGGACTGGGCCAAGTGCTTTCAAGTGCTAACTCAGTTAATGCTCCCATATCTTTCTCAACATGACAAAGGGAGGCTCAGTGAAAGCTCACAGTCAAGTGGCCAGGACATGCACGGGCTGGATTCAAGCCCAGGCTGTAAGGCTGCTGGCCTGGCACTTTAACCACATTCTCGACAAACCTGGTGTTATCAGGCTAACCTCATAATGTGAGTTAATAAGTGAAGTCATTTCCCCCCATTTCCCATTCTCTGCCACACTCTACCTATTCTTGAAGGTTTGGTAAAACTTGCCTTGGCTGGGTATGGTGGCTCACACCTGTAATCCCAGCACTTTGGGAGGCTGAGGCAGGCAGATCAGGAGGTCAGGAGATGGAGACCATCCTGGCCAACATGGTAAAACCCCATCTCTACTAAAATACAAAAATTAGCTGGGTGTGTGGTGGCATGCACCTGTAGTCCCAGCTACTCAGAAAGCTATGGCAGGAGAATCACTTGAACTCAGGAAGCAGAGGTTGCAGTGAGTTGAGATCGCACCACTGCACTCCAGCCTGACATGTGACAGAGACTCCGTCACAAAAACAAACAACAACAAAAAAACTTGCCTGTAAAACTCTCTGTGCCTGATGCCTTTTGAGGTGAGAAGCTTTTAACAATTATTATTGAACTATCCTTGGCCGGGGTGGTGGCTCACGCCTGTAATCCCAGCACTTTGGGAGGCCAAGGTGGGCAGATCACCAAGTCAGCAGATCGAGACTAGCCTGGCCAACATGGTGAAACCATGTCTCTACTAAAATACAAAAAGCTGGGCATAGTGACTCGTGCCTGTAATCCCAGCTACGTGGGAGGCTAAGGCAGGGAATAACTTGAACCCCGGAAGCGGGGGTTGCAGTGAGCCGAGACTGCACCACTGCACTCCAGCCTGGCAACAGAGCAAGAATCCATCTCAAAACAAACAAAGAAACAAAAAACAAACACAAAAAACCCCACAATGATTATTGAACTATCCTCTTGAGCTAATTTTGGTAATTCATATAGTTCTACCAACAACTGTTAACATTTTTTTATAAGCTTCCAAATTTATCGGCATAAAGTTAATGATACTCCATTATGATTTAAATAATGCATACCTTTTCTGCAGTTATAGTTTCTTTTTTGCTCCTGATATCTATTTTTTTTTAAGATGGAATCTTGCTTTGTTGACCAGGCTAGAGTGTAGGGGTACAATCTCAGCTCACTGCAACCTCTGCCTCTCAGGTTCAAGCAATTCTCCTGCCTCAGCCACCCAAGTAGCTGGGATTACAGGTACTTACCAGCATACCCAGCTAATTTTTTTTCTTTCTCTCTCTTTTTTTTTTTTTTGAGACAGAGTTTCGCTCTCGTTGCCCAGGCTAAAGTACGATGGCACAATTTCGGCTCACCAAAACCTCCAACTCCTGGCTTCAAGTGATTCTCCTGCCTTAGCTTCCCAAGTAGCTGGGATTACAGTATCCACCACATGCGGCTAATTTTGTATTTTTAGTAGAGACCGGGTTTCTCCACGTTGGTCAGGCTGTTCTCAAACTCCCAACCTCAGGTGTTCCAGCTGCCTCAGCCTCCCAAAGTGCTGGGATTACAGGTGTGAGCCAGTGCACCCGGCCCTAACGTCACTTTTCAAAGCAGGTTTGCATTTCATTCATCTGTTTTATTTCTTCAGTTTCTACCTCATTTCCCATTCTAGGATGGGGAAGTTATGTGTAGCTGTCACCAGGAGTAAGCTGATTTCGGAGCCCTCTGCCTCCTGGCAACAGAGATCTGGGGCTGCGAGGGAAGGGAGGGGGCAGGGAAAGGGGAAGGCACCCAAGGCCAGGAGTGCCTCAGCCGTCTCTTGAACTCCTGGGGACTGAGTTCTCTTATTCCCATTCTTCCGATGGCGTTGGGCTTATTTTTATCATTCTCTTTGTTGTTGTACAACAAATTTGCCTAAATCTACAGACTGCACTGTGTAGCTGGATTGCATAAGGCTTGACAGGACATTCTCATTTTTGTTCGGTTCTGAGTACTTTGTGGTTTCTATTCTTGTTACATGTTTAATGCATGAGCTACTCCGCAGTGAATTGAAAGTTTAAAACATTCTTCAACTTCGTTTCTACTGTTGATTTGAAGTTTAATTGTATGATGATAAAAAAAAAAATATGGCTTATTTGAGACTGAAGTTTGGAAATTTCCTGAGACTTCCTTTGTCCTGGTAGAAGGCCAACTCTTATAACCCTTCCATGTCAACTCAGCTATTTGTAGGGAAGATTCTATCTATTAGACCTGGCTTGGCTTGTTCATTTCACTTTTCCAATTTTCAGGGTTCTCTTCTTTTTAAGACAGGCTAGAGTGCAGTGGTGCAATCACAGCTCATTGCAGCCTCAACCTCCTGAGCTCAAGCAATTCTCCTGCCCACCCTCCTCAGCCTCCTGAGTAGCTGGGACCATACACAACTAATTTTTAAATTTCTCTCAGAGATGGTTTCATGGCCGGGCGTGGTGGCTCACGCCTGTAATCCCAGCATTGTGGGAGGTTGAGGCAGGTGGATCACCTGAGTGAGGTCAAGAGTTCAAGACCAGCCTGGCCAACCTGGTGAAACCCCATCTCTACCTAAAATACAAAAATTAGCAGCGTGTGATAGCAGGTGCCTGTAAGCTCAGCTACTCAGGAGGCTGAGGCAGGAGAATCATTTGAACCCGAGAGGCAGAGGTTGCAGTAAGCCAAGATTGTGCCATTGCACTCCAGCCTGGGCAACACAGTGAGACTCCATCTCAAAAAAAAAAAAAAAAAAAAAAAAAAAAGGGAGACGAGGTTTTATTTTGTTGCTCAGGCTGGTCGTGAACTCTTGAACTAATGTGATCTTCCTGCCCTGGCCTCCCAAAATGGTGGGATTACAGGCATAAGTCACCATGCTTGGCCCTAATTTTTAGTATTTATTCATTTTTGCCTTGAAAAAGTTTAACAGAGCTGTGTTAAAATACCCCACTTTGATGGTGTGTTCATCAATTTCTCCTTAAAAATCTGCTAGTTTTTGTTTTACATTTTTTTCTTTACATAATTTGGTGTTAGGTACATTCAAGCTCATTAGTTGCTATATCTTATGGGTGAATCCTTCCATTTATTTATTTATTTTTAGGTTTTTTTCTTCTTTGAGAGAGTCTCACTCTGTCGCCGAGGCTGGAGTACAGTGGTACCATCTCAGCTCACTGCAACCTCCACCTCCCAGGTTCAAGTGATTCTCCTGCCTCAGCCTTCTGAGTAGCTGGGATTACAGGCACCCGCCATCACACCCAGCACATTTTTATTTTATTTTATTTATTTGTTTTTTTTAGTAGAGACAGGGTTTTGCTGTGTTGGCCAGGCTGGTCTCAGTCTCCTGACCTTAGGAGATCCACCCGCCTCGGCCTCCCAAAGTGCTGGGATTACAGGCACGAGCCACTGCGCCCAGCCTGGTGAATGATTTCTTTTACTGTGATAAAACAGTCTTTTTCTGGCTGGGCGCGGTGGCTCACGCCTGTAATCCCAGCACTTTGGGAGGCCGAGGCGGGTGGATCACAAGATCAAGAGATCGAGACCATCCTGGCCAACATGGTGAAACCCCACCTCTACTAAAAATACAAAAATTAGCCAGGTGTTTGGCCAGCTACTTGGGAGGCTGAGGCAGAAGAATCGCTTGAACCGGGAGGCAGAGGTTGCAGTGAGCCGAGACTGCACCACTGTGCTCCAGCCTGGCGACAGAGCAAGACCTCATCTCAAAAAAAAAAAAAAAAAAAAGTCTTTTTCCTCACTGTGATGCTTAACTTCTGTTTCTTCTTCCATTTGCACAACAAGCCCTCCCTGTGTCCTTGCCTGGGCACAGCTGTAGGGAGCCCCACACTCTGTTTCTTTCCTGGGTGCTGGGTGGATATTATTACCCCTCCGCCTTCCAGCCCTACCCTGGCCAGGTCACCGTGTTCTAGCTGTGGGTCTAAGGCCTTTTTTCTAGGCAGGTCTGTTTCCTTAGGCAGCAACCTTGATGCTGTGCAGTTAGGACCATGTGTAAAGGTGTGGGTTTATTTTCACTTATCCTACAAGGACAGGGAAGATACTTCTAACCTGGGTCTCCTATCTGTCTTCAGCTGCGGAGAATTCTCAGCTGTTCTATCTACAAATCTTGCTCCTCCCCATTCTCCTTCTGGAAACCCGTGAGATGAACCGTGGCGCTTCCACGCCGCCATCTCTCCCCTCCCCTTCCAGCCCCGTCACAGTGACCCATCGGAAGGGTCTGAGTTTACACCACTCTGCCAGTTCTTGCAGTTCCTTGCTGTGGTTTCTAACGGGGTCCTTTTCAGAGCCACCTCTTCTGTTAATCTACTAGGTAAGTGACATCTTCTGCCTAGACCCAGGCCTACAGGATTTACAAATTAAGGCTTTTTGGTGGGGCCCAGTGGCTCACACCTGTAATCCCAACACTTTGGCAGGCCAAGGAAAAGGATGGCTTGAGCCCAGGTGTTCGAGACCAGCTTGGACAACATAGTAAGACCCTGTCTCCATTTAAAAAAAAAAAAAAAAAAAAAAAAAAAAAAAAAAAAATTAGCCAGGAGTGATGGTGCATGCCTGTAGTCCTAGTTGCCAGGGAGGCTGGGAGACGGGAGGATTGCTTGAGCCCAGGAGCTGGAGGCTGCAGTGAGCTATGATCGTGCCACTGCATTCTAGCCTGGGTGACAGAGCCAGACCCCATCCTGGAAGAAAACAAAAACTAAAACCACCAAAACAACAAAAAAGCCTTCACCAAGTCAAGGACAGCCTTCTCTAGTGCCCAAGCCTGGGTCCCCATGAGGCCCCTTGGAGGACGGAGTCACTCCAGAGCGTGGAACAGCAGCACTGTGGCCACAGGTTCCCAGTGAGCATGGCTCGGGGTGTGGGGCTGAGGGGAGCGCCGTGCCTGGCATCCTGCGGAAACTCACCCGCTCGTTCTTGTCCGTGCAGAAGAGCCGCGTGTGGTGCCGCTTCTGCACCACGATGAACGTGATCCCGGGCTGGTAGTCTTTCTCCAGCTTGATGCAGGCCTCGCGGATGGCCAGCAGCTCGTGGTGGAGAACCTAGGGGCCCGGGAGGGGAGGAGGCCGTGTTTAAAGACGGTAGTGCGTGTGAGCAATGGTCCCGCGTGTGCTATCTGGGTTTAGGAACGCCCAGCCGTGGTGATTCGGAGAGACACTGAGTGTGTTCACGGGGAGATGAAAACACAGAGGGCAGACGCTATCCTCTCTACAGGGAGGACTGGATGGAGGAGGAGGGGCTTCGTGCTCAGAGTCGGGGAGAACACTTCCCCTGCAGGGCCCAGGAGGTTGTGTGGACCAGGGGTGCAGCCAAGGCCAGGGGCGCAGGCTGGGCTCTGAGCCCAGAAGGCACCCGCAGCGGCCAGGCTCCTGCAGAAGCTTGGGGCAGACTCCAAGCCAGGAAGTGCCAGCCGGTCAAGGTGTATCCCTTTAGTCCTCCCAGCAGGCCACGGGCCTCAGGACTGAGCTCTGCCTCCACTCTGGACTGGGAAGGCAAACACGGGAGCTGGGTTGCATGCCATCCAGCCTGTTGATCAAGGAGGCAGGTTCCTGAGCTCCTGGGCAGCCACCAAGGATGTGTTCCTACTGGGTGGGGCTCCTCCCTCAACAGGTCCGGGGTGGCTTTCTTCTGCTTTCCTTGCTAACACCTCCCAAGGAAGCGAGCGTGTGATGTGGAGAGGGGTGGGAAGGAATTGGCGCCAGCCAACAGGAGAAACATTCGGGGCACCCATCGTCCGAGTTCCAGGCCAGGATGGACTCATTCCTGCCCACAGGTCATCTTGTCCGGTGGGTGCTGCAGGTGCTCTCAACCAAAGACAGCAACAAAGCCATCACCCTTCTGCGATGGCTCCCCTGCCCATCCAGACGCAGTGACCCACTATGGCCATCCCTGCCATTCTCCACATCCAGACAGTGGCCACGTTGGGGACCCTACTTTCAACAGAGCTGGCACCGATTCCTCCTCCCAGCCCTGCCTGCACACCTCTCACACTGCAGACAGCATCCCAGACACGATGTGCTCCCTGCCTTGCAAAAATACCCGACAGCTCTCCACAGCCTGCAAGGCAAAGCCAGGCTCTCGGGAAGCCCTCAGATGGAGCGCTGCTCTGTGAGTCAGCTGGACTCAAGCGTCTCTCCCTCATCTCTTGGTCCCCAAGCCCATACCCGCCCCTTCTCCTCTCCCTCCGTCCTGACTCAGCGTCACATGTCATGGTCTCGACAGCCCTGTGTCCCATCTCCTCCCCGGACCCCCTTCCGTGCTGTGAGAAGATCAGCCTTGGGGCCAAATGAAAGCCACACCATTCCTGTCACTTATCAAGTGTAGTTCTGCTGCACAAACAGGTGAATTACAGACCCTGGAGAAGGGGAGGAAAGGTTCCAAGAGGCACCTACCTGCTGGAACTGGCCCTCGGAGACGCCGTCGCGGTAGAAGATGATGCGGGTGGGCTTGAAGCGTGTGGACTTGTAGAACTGGATGAGGAGCTCGCGGACCATGGCGGCCAGGTCCTGAATGATCTCCTGCCGGTGCTGCTGCACGCGCACGGTGGCGCAGTAGCGATTGGGGTGGGCGTCCATGCTGCCCACCACCTGCAGGAACAGCCAGTGAGTGTGGTCAGGGGTTCCTGCAACTTTCCTCTCCTGGACTCTCGGGAAGATGGGGACAAGAAGTGTCCCTACCCTGGAACTCACGTCATGGTCAAGTGACAATAGCTGTCTGGTATGAATTCACAGCCTTTAGGCTTTCAGTGTCTGGCAACAGGGTTCATAAATACGTCCCAAATTACAACAGTTTGCCAACTTACATAGCTTAAAAAAATTTTTTTAATAAATAAATAAATAAATAAAAAGACTGGGCGCAGTGGCTCACACCTGTAATCCCAGCACTGTGGAGGCCCAGGTGGGCGGATCACCTGCGGTCAGGAGTTTGAGACCAGCCTGGCCAAGATGGTGAAAACCCCATCTCTACTGAAAATACAAAAATTAGCCAGGCAGCTACTCAGGGGCCTGCGTAAGGAGAATTGCTTGAACCCAGGAGGTGGAGGTTGCTGTGAGCCAAGATCATGCTACGGCACTCTAGCCTGGGCGACAGGGTGAGATTCTGTCTCAAAAACAAAAGAACAGATTAGAACTCTCCTCTGCTTAGGATCAGAAGTGGCTGAATTCATCAGTCCAAAGAAGACAATGGGTGGGCGTGCCCCTATTTCTTCCAAAGAAACTACAAGCACATCAACGTGCAGCATCCCAAAGGCACGGCAGCCAGGCCAGCAGCCACTGAAGTGCCACGGCCACAAAGAGGGCAGAACGGCTCTGCAGGTCTTCTGTCGGGCAGGGGAGTGTAAGGATGAGGCGGCCCAGCCCGTGGAGGGAACTGGGTAGATCCCCAAGTGCTGCTCCAGCCCCTGGCTGGGGAAGGCGAGGTCCTTACATTTTGAAAAACACTGACGGAAATAAAACCTCTTATGTCACTGAAAAATAGGAACTGCTTCTTGGCAATCTGCCTCCTCCTTCGTAAATCCTTACAGAACAAGTTCTCTCCCAGTGAATTCTTCCACTATTCCACGTCCTTTGTCCTGCCTTGGGCTATAATTTTTCTCTTAAACCAAGAGAAAAATAAATAAGCTCTGAAATGTTTCCAGTTGGTATAAACAGAAATACATTAACATAAACAGAAATCTGTTCCTATTGATTGAGAATCGTAGGGATAGGGGATAAACACACAGCTTTCTCTGTTCCTGAAAACTTGAAAAAACAATCTAAGGCTCCAAAAGCCTGAGATATGCTTGAACGCCTCATAACATGTGTGCAGAAAAAAAGCTAATGGGGACCAGGTGAGGCAGGGACAGGGGAGTGGGCCAGCCTGCTGTGCTGCGAGCTTTCCCCAGCTACAGGACCCTCGGGGCTCCCTCCCAGGCAACTGGTGCCCCGCTGTGCCTCCGAGATGGCCGTGTGGTGCTTCACCATCAGAGGAAAGGGCTGAAAACGACTCAGCATGGGCAGGTTCGGCGGCTTATGCCTGTCATTCCAGTACTTTGGGATGTTGAGGCGGGTGGATCACCTGAGGTCAGGGGTTCGAGGCCAGCCTGGCCAACATGGTCTTGAAAAAATACAAAAATTAGCCAGCCACGGTGCCAGGTGGCTGTAATCCCAGCGACTCGGGAGGCTGAGGCATGAGAATTGCTTGAACCTAGGAGGCAGAGGTTGCAGTGAGCTGAGATTGCACCACTGCGCTCCAGCCTGGGTGACAGTTATTCTGTCTCAAAAAAAAACAACCAAAATAACAAAACAAAAAAACGCCTCAGCAAAGTGAGCAGCACCGTAAGCACGGGCGTGGTGGGGTTGTGATTATCACGCCAAGCAGGAATTAGCTGGCACGATGTCAGCTTCCTAATGGAAGTGTGCCTGGGTAACACCAGAGAATGGATCATATGCTGGTCTCCTTCTGCCTGGGCAGCTTGAATGGCTTCCCCGTGTCCCAGATAGATTCTCCTGCCTCCATATTGCCTCCCAGCTAATGCAATAATCACGCTAGCATTTTCTTTTTCTCTTTCTGCCTTTTTTTTCTTTTGAGACAAAATCTCACTTTGTTGGCCAGGCTGGAGTGCAAGTGGCCTGACCTCGTCTTGCTGCAGCCTCCACCTCCTGGGCTCCGGCTCCTCCCACCTCAGCCTCCGACGTAGCAGGGGCTACGGGCACACCACCACCTCCAGCTCTTTTTGTAGAGATGGGGGTTCATCGTGTTGCCCAGGCTGGAATGTGAGCATTTTTTGAGCATCTACTACGTGCCAAGCACTTAACTACATCATTTCCTAATACTCCCATGAGGTCGACATTTGTTTTCTCATTTTACACCCAAGAAAGTTCTGAAGCAATATGCTCACTGCCCAAGAGCAACAGAAGGAAAACAGATGCAGCTCTGGCCTGTCTGAGGTTTGGGGCTGTGTCCCTAGACAGAGTTTTCACACCCTGGGGGCTCGGGGTCATCACACCCTAGGCTACCAGTGGCCAGTCAGGCCCCCATGTGCAAGGGGACTCCTTGAACCTCAGACCTCCCCGAGGGCTGGGATTCCAGGCATGAGCCCCCGTGCCTGCCCTCCAGCTGCTTCTTAGAACTTATTTTGTGTCATTGTAGTAACCCATCCAAACACCTCTCTCCCACACGACCCTGGCCTCCCTACTGCAGCTTAGTGAGACCCCATGCCTCTCAGGAAGGAACCCTGGCCACACTGTGGCAGCGGGACCTTGACAGGGTCCCGAACATCATTAACAAGAGACCCGTGGGAAAGTGCTGACACTCACGGCGGCAATGGAGGGCTTCTTCCCGTCCCCGGCGGGCGGGTGAGTGACATCCGCTCCCAGAAAGATGACGGGCTGCTGGAACACCGGCGGCCTGCGGAGAGGAGCAGCGTCAGGGGCCACGGCGAGACACGCCTGGACCTCTCACCCTAGGAGGTGCCATCGTCCTGTTTTGGAGGTGGTCAGTGTGTCAAGGTGATCCTTTTGAAAAGAATCCTGATCTTCTAACAGGAATACCGAAAACCTTGCAGATTAAATGATATGAGGTCTGAAATCTGCTTCAGAATGGCCAGAGGTTGGGGCTTGGGTGGAGTGCACCCCACCCAGAGGGGCCAGGGGCTGACAGCTGTGGAGGTGCGGCTCAGGCCAGGGAGTACTCACTCTCCACCCTCCACAGCCACACCCATGCCAGGCTTTCTCACCAACCCCCCAGGCCTGCTGGCTCTTTGTTGGGGTGGGGGCTGCCCTGAGTGTGGACGGATCTTGAGTGGCAGGCCTGGCGTTCACCCACTGGAGTCCACCAGCACCCCCTCTGGCCTGACACTCCAGTGTGTGTCCAGACATTACCACATACCCCTGGCAGCAAAACTACCCCACAGGGAACTTTCAGACCCTGAGTGTATCCCAGCGGTGGCTTCCTCGGGAGGCAGCTGGCGAGGGAGCAGGGATAGGCACATGGGCCTCGGGCTCTCCGGGGAAAGGCCAAGGCTAACAGCACCTCCCTCTGGGCACTGCTGCCGGGTTGAGAGTGCACCGCCCTGCACCCCACCCAGCCTTGCCTGGGCGCTGCAGGCAACATCAGGAAGCATCAGAAGTGGCCGCTCTGCCAGCCCTGCTACCCTCGCCTCTGCTGCCCTCTCCCGGCATCCATGTCCCCACGAGCTTGTGACTCACTCCCCGCCCACTCTCTCTCCAGCGGAGCTCCCTGAGTCAGCCAAACCCATCACTGCTCACGCTGGCTCCCAGGCCCCTGCTAGTCAGACTTCCTGTGGCCACAGCAACAAGGCTCCTCTTCCCAAGGTCACTGGTGACCTCTGCATCACAGACCCACGGCCATGCCTCCAGCCTCGCTGCATCTGGCTGGCCACAGGACACACTTCCTTTGGTGCCTAGGGCCCTGTGCCTGGCCTCCCCACCCCAGCCTCTCCCATCTCCGCTGCTGGTTCCTCCCACTCCAGGCCTTCAACTCCAGCCTTCTCCAAGGCCCAGGGCTTGGGCTACCACCTGTCTGCTTGAGGATTCCTGGATCCTGTCTCCCCTGACGCCAGCCTCCTGGTTCCCAGTGTCCACTCAACCTCTGCACTCAGAAGCTCCACAGAGGCCTCGTGGTCCAGTTCACCCACATCCGGTGCTCACCTTCCCAAAAGCCTCCCTGTCTAATGCCGACGGGGTCTCTCCTGCAGTCCGGCCAAGAGCCTAGATTTTTCCTTCAGGCACAGCCCAATCCAACCTGCCAGCAAGCCCTGGGGCTCTCTATTCAAAACAACTCAGACTCTAGGCGCTCCCTCCCCATCCCCCTGCTCTGGCCTGGCCAGGCCACCAGCCCTTCTCGGCTTCATGGACCCAGAGCTGGCCACGCTGTTAGTCAGGTGCCTCCAGACGGCCCCAGCCGACTGGAGGGAGCCTTAGTTCCCCAGCGGCCCCTAGGCTGCACGTGGGCGGGCCTGTCTCCTGTCTGCCCTCACGGCCCTCCCACAGCTCTGCTGTGCACCTGCCACCTGTGTGATGGGCTCATGATCGTCTCACCTGGGTGCCTCCACCAGGATTTCTGGCCCTGTGCTGCCCAATTATGGCCCAGACTCCCTGCACACAGTAGGCACTCAATAAATACAGAACCTGTGGACTAAGGAGCAGCACTTTCAGTTCTCAGGCAGCTCCGGATTGGTCTTCGCTCATTCCCATGAACCTGTCTCACCACAGGGCCCGTGCCCACGCCCACAGCCGTCCGACTTGGAATCCGGGTTCTTCCCACGGTATCTCCCTGTTCCCTGATGAATTCAACGGACTGTTTCCGGGAGTGTATAACTCGGTGGCCCTCAAAGCCTGGTCCTGCGTGCAGCAGCATCAGCACTGCGCGTCCACTTGCTAGGGGTGGAAATTCCTGGCCCCGATCAGTCCTGCTGAGTAGGACACTCTGGAAATGAGCCCCGCTGGGGTTCAGATGTGAGGACACTGTGGTGACCCAGCACAGGCCTGTGCACACAGCAGGGGCTCACCACCGCCCACTTGCCAAATACAGAGGGTCACTGCCTTAAGGCAGTTCAATTTAGGATTCTTAACTCTGTGATGGTGAGGGCGAAGGAGATTTAGCACACTGCCTGGCTTAGGATGGCTTTCTCAGATGAGCCCCACCGTGACTGCGAGCTCCAGCAGATCCGCACCACGGGGGCTGCCCACAGCCTCCACAGACCCCTTCTGCACAAATGCACACGTTATCTGATTCTACGTATTCTCCGTTGTCATCCAAATGTTAAGAGAACTGCCAGGGTTGGCAAAGATGCTGGTCATCGTGGAGACGTCTTTCTCGCCTACATCACAGGTTGGTGGCCTCAGAGGAGTGGAAGAAGCAAACACCGGCCCCGCCCTAGACTGGATGCTTAGTGGGTCAGGACATGCCCAATGAGGGTGCAGCTCCATCACCCCCCACACCGTCAGCCCTGAGCCTCTGAGGCAGGCAGGTGGCCACACGTCCTGCCCTGGCCTGGGAGCTGCCAACAGTGTGTCCCATAAGGAGCTTTCAGTCCAAAGTCCCAGCATGATGTAGCATCCATGCCCAGCCTGGTGTGGGAAGCATGGGGGTCCCTGGTCCACACAGCAGTTACTGCTGCGGAGGGGGAAGCCCATCTTCTGGCCCCTTGAGGCGTGCCCTGCTCTGCCTTCCCCACTGACATTCAAGGCGTGAATTTCTGTGTCTGGAAACCCAGCCACAGTGCTCAAGCTCCTGCAGATGCCCCTGGCCCCCAGCAGAGCTTGAGCGGCCAGATCTATGTCTGACATCTTTGCTCTGCTGTGGCCAGGACAGCACTGGCCCAGGTGAAGGAACCCTGCCCTGCTGCACACCGCACCCCACCCGGCCAGGAGTCCCACAGTGCCTGGTCCGCAGGCGGACAGGAAGGCTCCGGGCCTCACCTGCCCTGGGGCAGCAGGATGTTGTTCACGCCTCCCAGCTTGACGTTGATCTTCAGACAGAGGTTGGACAGGGTCTGTGGCGTGGTCCTCTGCACGTTCTTCATCTGCACGCACTGCGTGGCCATCCCCAGTACCGTGTCTCCCACACGCTTGACCTCAGCTAAGGGACACAAGAGGCACAGACACAGCTCTGCTGGCGCCCCTTCCTCAGCCGGCCCCGAGCACAGCAGCTGCCACCAGCCCTCTCACCCCCATCTGGCAGTGCAACCACGGCAGCTGTGCTGGGCTTTGTGTGTCCCCCTCTGTCCAAGGTCACTGGCCCCGAGAGGGACCCCACGCTCCTTGGAGTCCAGGCTCCAGCACGGCCATGCCCACCTCGCCCAGGGCAGGCTTCCCCTCCTCCCTCAGGAAGGGAAGCTGGGTGAGTCTATCTCATCCCTCCAGTTTATGAACAAAACCATTTAAACCCCTAATCCAGGGCTCCAGGGCAAGAGAGAAAGAGCTCAGCTAGAAGGAAGGACTCACCACTCCTGCTTAGGAAGGCCACTCACACTGGCCGGGCGTGATGGCTCATGCCTGTAATCCCAGCACTCTGGGAGGCCGAGGCAGGCAGATCACCTGAGGCCAGGAGTTTGAGACCAGCCAGGCTAACACGGCGAAACCCCGTCTCTTCTAATAAAACAAAAATTAGCCAGGCATGGTGGCATGTGCCTGTAATCCCAGCTACTTGGGAAGTTGAGGAGGGAGAATCACTTGAACTCAGGAGGCGGAGGCTGCAGTTAGCCAAAATCACACCACTGTACTCAATTCTGTCTGAATTGAGACAAGCCAGCCCTTGTCTCAATTTAAAAAAAGAAAAATAAAAGGAAGGCCACTCACACCACAGTGCTCTGGCTGCAAGCAAATGCTTGGGTGGTTAAAAATAAAAACACTGGCACCCTCAAAATCCTTGGCAGATGTAAACCCGACATCAAAGAGCTCCATGGCTCCCCCCACCCCCCCAGCTATTCCTGGTCTCTTTCATGAAGCAACTGGTCAGCTGCTCACTGGGCAGCCTGGGAAACAGCGACTCCCAGGACAATGTCACCAGGATGTCAACAGCAATAGCTCTATCTTTCCTTCTTTTTTTGGGATGTTGAACTTGGAGGAGAGAAGTGTGGCTTTTACGTGTCAATAATGTGTCCATGGCTGGAGGTGGGGCCCTGTGGGTGACCCCCTGGCACAAAGGACTTTGGCAAAACTCCACAAAATTCTGTGGTGGGCAGAGAGATGACACATGGGCAGGGAGCTGACCTTAGTGCTACGCTCTGCGCATGGAACAAACGCACCTGCATCCAGCCGACACACATGTGGTGTGAGGGACATGCTGCCCACACACGTGCCAAGGCCTGTGCCACTTGAGGCTACTGGCTGCCCAGGACCATGGCGTCACACAGGACGACGGAAAGGTCCTGAACACAGACGTGACAGTGATCAGAAGCCACCTCTTCTTTCTCAGCCTCCCGAAAGGAGCACCTTCTCAGTGCAGCAGAAACACAGAGGGGCTGTGGAAGGAACAAACACCCACAGAGACCACGACCCCTCCCCACAGCCAGCAGGAGGCCCACACCTACCGTATACCGGCGTCTTGCCGGGCAGAATGACCACCACCAGCTGCAGGCCTGCGTACGTGTTCTTCAGGTGCCGGAACATGGGCTCCACGCTGTCCGCCCCCTGCGCGTATTTGCAGAAGCATGGCTGGCCCTGGATGGGCATGCCGGCGTCCCGCGAGATCTTTCTGAGCTGCTCTGTGAAGGACCTGGAGGAGAGGGCTCAGTTCGCTACGCTGCACTGGGAACGGCGAACTCAGACGGACCAGAGGCCCTCAAGCAAGGCCAGCATTTTTACGAGGCCCAAAGCACTGTTGCTGAGCTCAAAGCTTTTCTTTACGCCCCGGACAAAGCCAGAATTCAGAGCTACGTCTCCTAAAACATACTAACTCATGAGAAAGGTGAAGTGTGCTCAACAGACGTGTAAGGACACTTGAAAGTCACGTGTGGCTAACCCGCCATAACAGCAGCCTTTGCACCACGCTAACGCTGCCTCGAGGCGGCGGCGGCTCCGGAGCGGAGATGCTATGCTGTCCCTGCAGAGCTGCCGAGCAGCCCCGGGAGCTCTGGTGAAGGAGGCCAGCACTCTCCCCACGCACAGGGCAGGCACCGTCAGAGCGGGGGACATTTCCAGCTCACCGTCCTTCTAAATCTTTCCCCCCAGTTGTTCTGATGGGCACAACTTGGACCGCGTGACATCATCATGAGAGAAACACAGCACCCTGCGGCACAGCCCGAGGAGAGGCAGCAGCTGGCTGCGCCGGCCTTGAGAAGCTAGGGCGGGGTTGGAGGCAGGGCAGCGGCTGCTATTTTAAGCCGAAGACTAAGAATCATGTCACCTTCTACAATAAGGGCGAGGACACGGCACTCCAACCCAGCCAGTGTCCAATTTCCTGTACATTACAGCAGGTCAAGAAGCATGTGTGTGTCCACCCACATCTTCAGCTCCAGGACAGAGCGAAGGAAGGGGCCGAGGACAGAAGACAGGGCAGAAAGCGACCCCGTGTTCAGACCCTAACCTACTTCAGTTTGTTTCCCAGACCTCCTCTCTGGGCTTCCGGCTCCTCTGCCAGCAGTGTGGACACAAGGTGGCCTCAGAAGGACAGATGGCCACTTGCCAGCAAGATGTCAGCTCCAGGAGCCAGGCCCGTTCACGTCCGCCCTTGCTGGAACGGCCAAGGCACCCGCTACAACTCCCAGGCAGGAGTTCTCCCCTGTTGCCCCCACAGAGTGGGGAGCGAAGACTTTATGTTTCCTTTGAAGCCTGGCAAAAAGGCATGAGCCACACTGCTGTGTGCTCCCGACACCAGGTCCGGCTGGGCCCATCCCTGGCACAGCTGTGCTGACTGAGGCAAGGGTCCCGGCTGAGGGGTAGGCGCTACCATGGCACTCGGGCTTCCTAGAGGGCCCGGCACTCACCTGGGCGGGTGGCAGAGACACAAACGAAAACTTCTCTCCTCTTATTTCCATTACTCCCCTTGTACGGGAAGGAAGATAATACTCCCAGCCTTTCCACCTCTCTATTTCACCATCTCTTCCTGATTATTTTTCTTGAGATGGAATCTCACTTTTTTTACCCAGGCTGGAGTGCAGTGGCGTGATCTTGGTTCACTGCAACCTCTGCCTCCCAGGTTCAAGTGATTCTCCAGCCTCAGGGCCCCGAGTAACTGGGACTACAGGCATGTGCCACCACACCTAATTTTTATAATTTTTGTAGAGATGGGCTGGTCTCAAACTCCTGGTGGCAAGTGATCCTCCTGCCTCAGCTTCCCAAAGTGCTGGGGGTTACCAGCGTGAGCCACTGTGCCCAGCCCATCTCTCTCTGATTCGGTCTTCATTTTCTCCTTCTAACTTAATTTACACAAATATGGAGCTAAATTTTTTTTTAAATAACTGTAGTTCATTGAATCTAATTTTCTCTTTTGCCCTTACTTACAACTTCCTCACATCCTGTTTGGTTTTTTTTTGAGACAGAGTCTCACTCTGTCGCCCAGGCTGGAGTGCAGTGGTGTGATCTTGGCTCACTGCAACCTCCACCTCCTAGGTTCAAGTGATTCCTCCCTCAGCCTCCTGAGCACCTATACAGGGAGCATAGGCGTCCACCACCACAGCCAGCTAATTTTTGTATTTTTAGTAGACACGGGGTTTCACCATATTGGCCAGGCTGGTCTTGAACTCCTGACTTCATGATCCACCCACCTTGGCCTCCCAAAGTGCTGGTTTACAGGCATGAGCCACCGCGCCCAGCCAGATCCTGTTTGGTTCTGTCTATGGTCTGCACTACTTCTTGATGCTAACCGCAAAGGTGGGTCCCAGCAGCCAGAGAGGAACCGATGGGGCCTGCATGTCTTGCCCTGGCCCAGCCAGCGGTCTTTGACAGGGAAAGGCTGATGAACCCTGACATCAAAACCCATGCCAGCGCCCTCACCCCATCCCACCCACAGTCAGTCCTGCAAGTGTTCCCTCCAGCTGCCCAGCGGGCAGGACTCAGGCCGGAGCCTCTGCCTGTGGCGGCCTTACTTCAGATGGACTTCTGTGCACTGGCGCTGGGGGGCAAAGCACGCGATGGCCCACACCTTGATCTCGATGCCCGTGTGAAACTGCTTGTTCCGCATGTCCCAGACGCCCTGGACAGGGGTCGCAATCGCTTTATTCTGCAAATGGCAAAAGGTTCAGGGTGAGAAAAAATGGAAGACATATTCCTTTAAACCTGAGTTCATCACTCTCATTGTTGGTTCCCCGACCAACGACAGCTCCTCGGGTAAAGAACTTTCTTGTTGTTTCCTGTCTCTGACCTGCCTAGTGATGTAGACAGCCGGGAGGATGGTTAGATGCGTGGGCTGGTGGAGGCGGCTGGGTGGGCGGGTGGTTGATGGGTGGGTAAGGTGGGTGGGTGGTTGATGTGTGGATAAGGTGGGTGGATGGCTGTTTGATGGGTGGATAAGGTGGGTGGGTGGATAGTTGATGGGTGGGTAAGGTGGGTGGGTGTTTGATGGGTGGATAAGGTGGGTGGGTGGATGGTTGATGGGTGGGTAAGGTGGGTGGGTGGATAGTTGATGGGTGGGTAAGGTGGGTGGGTGGGTGGGTGGATAAGGTGGGTGGGTTAATGGTTGATGGGTGGACAGGGTAGGTGGGTGGATGGAGAATTGGATATGTGGGTGGGTGGGCAGATAGATGGACAGACGGATGGACGATCGGGTGGGGAGTAGACAGAGTCGGATGGAGGATGGATGGGTAAGTAATGAACAGACAGATGGGGGCTAAGCCAGGAGTGGGGAGGCCCAAAGCTCCATCCAACCTCATGGGTAGCCTGGAGGAACAGAGGTGCCTTGCCGTGCTACAGGAAGGCCTCCTGTTCTATACCACGCTTTCCCTCATTCCCCTCCCCTATCATCAGGGACGTGGCAAGGGAGATGAGAGCTGGGAGTGAGTCCATAGCTTTTTCCACTCCGCATGCCATCGCCCGCAGCTGTTTCGGAAACGGGAGCTACTTCCACTTGAGAAGAGAAACATGAACCGCGCAAATATGCTGTCAGCTCTCAACTAGAAAGGACCAGCCCCGAGCCCTGTCACCAAGGAATCTCTGAATTGACTTCAAGTGATTCTCAAGAAAAGGGTGGGCCAGCAAGGGTCCCGAGTAGGAGGGACAGGCACTCCTAGGCCTGGGGGCATCAGTATAGGACATGGCTGTCCCTGAGTTGCCATCATTTACTCTGTAGAGGTTTTTGTTTTTTTAGCAGAAAACCTTTTTCTTACAAAATACAAGCCTGCTGTAGAAATCAGACATGATAGAAATAAATGCTTTGTTTCCTGTATTTTATAGCTACTGCCCGTTCCCACCAGCCTCCCTGTGTGCAAGAGTCTCACAGACAGCCAGGGCTCCAGACGGGGAGTAAACACACACACGCGCGCGCGCACACACACACACGCGTGCGAGCGCAAATGCAGGATCTTACTACACAGGTGCTTCTCAACCTTGGCACAATTGACGTTTGAAGCTCAGTGATACTTTGTCCTGGGCTGCCCTGTGCCCTATAGGCTACCCTACCCACCCCCAAGTTGTGACCAAAAAAAAGTCTCCAGACACTGCCAGATGTCCCCGAGGGACAAAATCATCCCTGGTGGAGAACGCCTGCTGTGCACTCTGCTTTTTGAGGGAACTTTGGGTTTTTGCACTAACAATGGACCAGGAGGTAGGCAGGGGAGGGGACAGGAGTGTTTCCTCCTATTAAAATGTTTTAGAAGTCTGGAAAAATGTATTCGTGCATTAACGGAAGCATTACAAGCTCAGTCAAGTGCGACGGCTCACGTCTGTAATCCCAGCTGAGGCAGGAGGACTGCTAGAGCCCAGGAGTTCAAGACCAGCCTGAGTAACATAGTCCCTGTCGCTACAAAACATTGAAAACCTAGCTGGGTGTGGTGGTGCCCCTGTGGTTCCAAGCAATTCGAGAGGCTGGGGCTGGAGGATCTCGAGCCTGGAAGGTGAAGGCTGTGATGAGCTATGATCACACCACGGCACTACAGCCGGGGCATCAGAGCGAGACTCTGTCTCAAACCAATGACGAGCTCTCTCTTTTTTTTTTTTTTGAGACAGAGTGCACTCTGTTGCCCAGGCTGGAGTACAGTGGTGCAATCTCAGCTCACTGTAACCTCCACCTCCCATGTTCAAGTGATTCTCTTGCCTCAGTCTCCCAAGCAGCTGGGATTACAGGTGGGTGCCACCACACCCGGCTAACTTTTGTATTTTTTAGTAGAGATGGAGTTTCGCCATGTTGATCAGAGGCTGGTCTTGAACTCCTAACCTCAGGTGATCCTCCTGCCTTGACCTCCCAAGGTGGCTGAGATTACAGGCGTGAGCCACCACGCCCTACCTACAAGCTCCCTTAATTCCTACCCTCAGTTTTGCAAGGTTAGCTTACACAAGCTCTTCTGTTTTTCACACAACCAGCCCTTGCTAAAAGGCAGGAGCCCAAGGGAACAGAAGCCAGCAGGACTCTGAAGTGGTGCTGGGTTCAACAGCTCCATCCCCCACAGGGGCCACACACTCCTTGAGGGCATCTCCTCCCTGACTCGTGAAGGGGAATCATGCGCTCTTCCTCCTGGGCCTGGGCTATGTTTATACTGCATTTGGGGCCCGCTGGGGGGGACACACGAGCCACGGAGGGGCTAAAGGGCCTTCCTCAGACTCCCTTCAGAGAGACAGGGAATGGCTGTGGCCACCTCCAGCGACACAGACCCCCAAGTGATGGGGTTCCAAGCAATGGGACCAGGACAAGACACACATGCGCAGCAACACAGAACGGCAGCAGCCTCTCGGAGAGCGCTCTAAGAAAATGTTAGCTGGAAAACAGCGAAGCACAGAAATATAGGTAATGCTGTTATTTTCACAGAAAGGGGTGACTTATCCCTGGGTGATTTTACAAAGGAGAAAGATAACACCAATTGCTTCCTGAGAGGGCAACAGAGAACTGGGAAAAAGAGACTTTTCCTCTAATTGTTTTATATCTTCTGAATTCTGAAACGTGTCAAAAACAGAACTTTATTTTTTTTTGTTTTTGAGATGAGTCTCGCTCTGTCGCCCAGGCTGGAGTGTGGTGATGCAGTCTTAGCTCACTGCAACCTCTGCCTCCCAGGTTCAAGTGATTTTCCTGCCTCAGCCTCCTCAATAGCCAGGATTGCAGGCACGCACCACCATGCCTAGCTAATTTTTGTATTTTTAGTAGAGGCGGGGTTTCATCATGTTGGCCAGGCTGGTCTCAAAGGCCTGACCTCAAGCGATCTGCCCGTCTCAACCCCCTGCTGGGATTACAGATGTGAGCCACCGTGCCCAGCCCAGAACTTACGTTTTAAATTAAGACAGATAAAACAAGCAAAGAAACCCCAAAACCTCGCTATGGGTCTTGAGGATGAGAATAAAATTCCATTAGGTAGAAACTAGGGTGTGAAAAGTCTGGCAGGCCCTCCCATGGATGTCAGGTGACGTCTGACACTGAGGCCCTGCAGAGCCCTGGGGTCCCTCCCAGTGTGGTCACCTCCGGGCCTTGCTCACCAGCTAGAAGTGCTGGGCTTGCACCCAAGGGCCTGCCCAGGAGGAAAAGAGAGAAGACCCCGAAGGGCTCAGTGCCCAGGACACCTTTGGCTACACACTGATAAAAAGTAGAAGTTAGGGGCTGGACACAATGGTTCCTGCCTGTATTCCCAGCTACTTGGGAGGCTTAGGCGAGAGGTTTGTTTGAACTGCAAGAGTTAGAGGCTGCAGTGAGCTATGATCACGCCACTGCATTCTAGCTTGAATGATAGAGCAAGGCCCTGTCTCAAAACAAACCAGACTAGGGCTCACGCCTGTAATCCCAACACTTTGGGAGGCCGAGGCAGGTGGATTACCTGAGGTTGGGAGTTCAAGACCAGCTTGACCAACATGGAGAAACCCCATCTCTACTAAAAATACAAAAAATTAGCGAGTCATAGTGGTGCATCCCTGTAATCCCAGCTACTCAGGATGCTGAGGCAGGAGAATTGCTTGGACCTGGGAGGCAGAGGCTGTGGTGAGCCGAGATCGTGCCACTGCACTGCAGCCTGGGCAACAAGAGTGAAATTCCACCTCAAAAAAACAAAAACAAAAATAAAACCTACAAGTTAAATTAGTAAGGACAAAAAACTGTTACCAAACACCCCCAAAGCAAAAGTTAGAGAATAGAAAAGCGGCACGGGCTTCTGGGAAGTAATTCAACACCCGGTGAGCACCTAGCACACAAAGAACGGTGCTCTCTAAACTTTCACGGGATAATGCAAATTATCTTTTGAAAATATTAAGGATAATTCAGAAAAACTTTAAAAAGGACTGAGGAAAGTCATTCCTTTATGAGGTCCCATGCTTTTTACAGGCTCAACCCAGAGTAGAAAGGATTCTCCTACTGGAACATGGTCTACACCGCGGGTGATGGCTCAGAACCTGAGAGGGGTGTCACACGGCAGACACAGGCCCCGCAGCCGCATGCACCCCGACGCCCTGCACGTACCCGGCCCCCGTAGAGGATGGAGGGTGGCTGCAGCACCCGCCCAGTCACGTCTGTCATCTCATCTTTGACCATGATCCCAAATTCACGGACGTATGGGTCTGTGTTGAAGCTCGCGCTTCGCATCTGGCAAAGGGAAGAAAGAAAACGCACGGAGTGGGCGGGGGCCTCCGCTCTCCACAGCAGCCGCGTCCATTCCAAGCATCAGGGGTTTCTGTGCCAGGGCAACCGGACCGGACTCCACAGGGCGCCCCGCGTGGGACGGACGCTCACCAATTTGCTAATCTCCTCTTGCCGATCGGGCGCCGACCTGGCAGTTGCTCTGATCATGGTTGAGGTCTGATTGTCCGTTAATTTTTTAATGCATCTTTGTCCTGCCACTATGTTACAGACCTGCAAAGAAGACGCAGAGACAGGCATCAGCGCCTCACTGGTGCAACCAGGGGAGTGGGCAGGGGGCTCAGGGGCTGGTGGGTTGGCTCTGCCCGGGACGGTCTCTGCCTCATCCCTGGGCTGTGAAGCGCTGGGCAGGTGCCCGCTGCTGGGCTGGCTCCTGCTCCACGGCCTTCCGCTCCACAACGGAAATCCCTCCTAAGTAAAACCAACATCGTGCAAACATGCAGACCCCACGGATCCCACAGCCTCTGTGGCCGGCGAGCGGGGCTGTGTCCTGACACCAGCCCTTCTGGGCCCTCTCCAGTCTTCAGGGCCGTGGGTGTGAAAGCGTCTACAGGTGTGAAGGACATCTACCTGCGGGACAAGGCACCAGAGCCGCCCAGCCCTGCCTGAGCGACAGGCGAGCGCCGAGAACCTAAACACCCAGGGGAGAGTTACAATGCACGGCTCAGGATCAGCATTCGAGCCTTTCCCGAGGCAAGGATTTTTGCAACAGCTGTGATATTACAGAGTGAGTGACACAACCATGCAGTGACGGATGACAGAGCACCTGCCTCCCCTGTGGGACCTGCGGGAGCGTTACACACACTCTGAGTCAAGGCTCACACCAACCCTCCAGAGAGCTGCCAACCCCACTTTACTGAAGGCAAAACCAAGGTGCAGCGCAGCTCAGGAACGGACCCGAGTTCCCACAGCAGCAGAGGCGGGGCCATTTGCACCTGACTGGGGCCGCGGCGGTTGCTTGAAGCTGCACGCCCCAGCCTGGGCTGCCCTCCCAACCCCACGGAGGTGCGCGCAAGAGGGAGACTTGCCTCCAGGGGAAGGTAGGTGTGTTTCTGCTCCTGTCCGACTTGTAAACATGGGAGGTGGGGGTAGCGCAGAACCAGCTTGTGCCTGTCCTTGAAGTACTGGGCCACCGTGCACTCCACCGTCTGTCCGCTCTCCTGCTGCAGCGGGAATCTGGGGAGCAAAGGGCCTTTCAGGCTGAGGTCACCCCGGGCCCCATTCCTGCACTGCTTCTCATCTACCATTTGCTTTTTAGGGTGAAGTGTGAGGAGCACACGTTCAAGCACTTCCAGGAGTGAGTACCACATCACGTGCTCTGGGGTATCTGGGATGTTCCCGGGCCCCTACATTCTCGTTCTGTCTCTGGAGCTGGGAAATAAAAAACTACCTACACGTGTCATTACTCCATCATCATAAATTACCCACGACGCCACAGTATGTGTCAAGGAGCCAGGATGAACGGAGACATCCAGAAAGAAAGGTCTGTGGGTCTTCCAGAGAGCATGGCAACCCTGGAGACCATTTCCATGCCGCACACCCAGTGCCCAGAAGGCCGGCAGCCTCCAGGACCGGATGAGGAAGGCAAGCCAGGCCTATTCCGGCAGCCAGGGCCTCCGCATGGTGACAGTGGGGTGCAGCACGGGCAAGTGCGGGGAGGCCTACGGGCACAGAAAGGGTGGGCCTCTGTGTGGGGACAAGGGGACGGGGCAGCTGGCACAGGGCAAGGACCACATGGCTCAGTTTCCACTACACCAACCCCTTCCCTCCGTCCAGACTGCCAGGCCACCTGTGACCTCTGCCAGGCGGGGGAGGGGGCCCGGCCAGGCTACAGGCCGTCTCCTTCTGCTCCCTGAGCCACGGGCATCTTGGTTCCTCCGGTGCCTGGCAACAAGCCTGGCGCTTTACATGGAATGATCCATGAAGTGGAGGAACCCTACTGGCCTGGGAGACATTAAGTGGAGCACTGGGGCCGAATCGATCATCCCCTTCACAAAGGAACTCCAGTGCAACCCGGCATGCACTCTCATGCCTCCACCGGCCTAGATACCAGACTGTGCTCTTGGCGTTAATGACGGGACACACAGACTGGCCCAGGGAGTGGGGCATGCATCAGGGCCACAGCCCCTCCACCCCCAGCACTCAGGATGGGACAACGAACGCAGACGACCCTTCTCTCATCTGTGAGGCTCACGAAGGAAGAGGGAGAGAGCGCCCGGGCCTGCCCTCCCGGCACCCAGGTGGAATTTCATGATCGGACTTGATTTTCTTAGGTGAAATCTGGAACCTACCGAGTTATGTAAGGAACAATTTTGGGGAATGAAAAACAGAATGAAATGGTCCTTTCCAGGGACTCATGGCTCCAAAGTGTGCCCAATGGAGTGACAGCAGGGGCCCCAGCCAAAAGAGTCTGAAAGGAAGGGTGCGTTACGTTTGGTGACTGGCAGGCCTCCGGGTGACGTTGCAGACTCGGTATTTCCTCTTCATCTGTCCACAGTGCGTAATCTCCACCTTTAGACCTGGGGACACAGAACACAGCATCAGGGTCTGGGCTTTCCCAAGCCTGAGTGCAAGCTCCACTTCCCAAGAATCCATTTTCATAGGAAGGTGGCTGCCGACCCAAGTTGTGGGGGCTCCATAGGGCTGCAGGGCTCCCCTAGGAAGGATGACCCATAGGTCACCCCCAGGCCACCCCAGTTGGGTCCATCTCACCTACAAGAGGGGAAGGCTCAGCTTACAGCATGGGGTGTCCACCCTCGTGCTGTTCTGAGCCCCCCATGGGTCACTGGGGTTGCACGGGGTACTGTGGATGGCCCTGCAAATGGCCTTCGGAAAGGACAGGTTCAGCAGGCAGGGTTTGTGGAGCCAGTGGTAGCCCCCACTCTGCTGCTGATGGACAGAAGGAGCCCGGTAAGTCCTAGAGCCCCGGATGTAAGTTTCTTAGAACAGAAAGCAGGCGGAGCGGGTGCAGACACCTGCTGGGGCTGCAGAAGGATTAAATGAAAACAAAAGGAAATGCATCCTTGGTTCCAGTGTTAGAAACGCCAGTCACAGCTACGCTGCTGTTTCAGTCCTGACCTCATGACTCGGGCGTGACCGATTCCCTGACCTGGTCCTCACCCCACAGGGTTGCATTCATTTGGGAAACCCCAACTCCTGCTCTGGGAAATGAGTCTAACTCATCTCCGTGCTGCTGCATCTGATGGCTACAGTCTGCCACCTCCACCTCCCTAAACGTGCCCAGGACCCAGCACTGCAAAACGCAGTTCCGGAGGTAGACCGAGAAGGGGCCTCCCAGCCCTTAGCCAGGTGTGCCGGGACAGTTCATTACCTTTAATTTCTTTGGTAAACTTTACCCTTTGGGAATCTGTCAGAGGTTTTTGTTGTTCTTCAATACTTTTAAAATCCAAAACTTCACAAACAAACTCGATTACTGGCTGTGCCTTGTAAAACGCTGTGGCCGACACTGTAGGTGAGAAAAGAAAGAGGTGAAGGACAAGTTGTGACCGCGGGGCTGCTGGGCGGGCCTGGAGTCCTGGAGGGGCCTTGCAGGCCGGGCCAGCCACGGTGGGGACACCCGGCCAGGGTTCTCACTCTCTACCGAAGCCACCCTTGGGCCCAGAGACGGGCAGGCCAGTGGTGAGAAACCTGGGCCTGAGCCACCGAGCCTCCCTCTGGTCAGGGCGACAGAAAGGAGCCGCCTGGCTCTGAAGACTAAGCCACCTCTGAGAATAAAGAGTGTTGTAGGATTTTCTGATTATCTTCTGGCGCAGATACTTCTGAAATTCATCATTCCCTTTTATATAATTATATTTCAAGAAATGTATAACCGAGCAAGATCAAATTCTAATTCCTTTCTAGAGCTTTTCATAATAATCAACTCCCCTATGAGAAGACTGATCCTTTTCGCTGGACTTCACTCTCGTCTTTTTCACAGGGAGGACGGCGGATGTCCTGCATAGAGCAGCGACCAAGTCTCCCAACAGGGACAGGCCACACCCAGGCTACCGTGGAACCCAGGCCTACCGGAGGCCAGCAGGAAGGCGCCCCGGATCCTCAGGCCCACCTCAGCTCCCGAGTGCAGCTCCTTAGGCTGGGCCCTCCTGGTGGCTCCATGCTCACCTGAGAGCCCCTGCCCTAACCCACCCAACACTGCAGGTGAGATGGGCCAGGGGTCACACGGCAGCGCCGGCTCTGAGAGGGGCCATGCGTGGAGCTGGCCACATGGCCGCCCGGGTCCTGACCCCCAGCCCATGCCCAGCCCTGCCCTGCAGTGAAGACCCCAGGGCACTGCTCACCATCAATATTCAGCATCATTTTCCAGAGAGAAGGCCGGACGGACTGATGGAAGCCAAACCACACTTCTCGGCCCCCGCCAAGAGGGTTGGAGCAGCCTTCAGACGCGGTGAAGAAGGAGCGGCCCACGGGGGTGTACCTGGAACCGAGAGACCCCACCCCACCTCCTGTCAGATCAGCTTCCAGAAGGACAGCCGCCTCTGGGTGGGCTTCGCCAGCGCCCACCACATGCTCATCAGAGTTCCATTTCCCCTCCTTCTAAAACTGCGTTTACCGTGCGGCACTCCAGCCTGTGTGCACGGCCTGCTGTGTGGGACCCATGGCCTCACCAGCAGACGGCAAAAAACATTTGCTTAAATGCACGGCACAGGTGGGACATGAACCCCAGGACCCGGCGTTTCTGTCCTGGCCTCCCTGTCCTGACCTCACCTCACTTTATTGTCCCCACTGTCTGCTCTTCCCCCCACGGGGCCTGCGTCTCCAAGAGCAGAAGGAAGCGGGCACCTGCCAAGTGCCAGCCCCAGCCGTGTGGCTGTCCATGCATGACCCAGCAGCCGCCAGCTCCCTTAGAGGGGGGCTCCCCAGCCAGGCTCCGAGGTCCAGGAACCGCCTGCTGGGGGCTCCCCTGCAGGAGGTGGCAGGGCCAGCGTGAGGGCGTCACAATCTCTTCGGGCCTGCCAGGGATGCTGTGCTGACCCGGCTAGAGCCACTCGACCAAAGCAGACACATTCTCCAGCACGCCAGCCTCACCCGCCGCACGGACACATGGGGTCTGGTGGCCCGGGAGGTGCCATCACCAATGATTCTGCAGGGAAAACCCGCTGTGAGCCGTGATGCTCCCCGCCTGTCGGGGGCGCTGATCCACCACGCACACGGCCTTCACCTTCCACCTGAGACGTGTTCACAATCCCGCCTCTACTGTGCTTTTTTTCCAAAAATGAAAACAGCACTTTCCTCCCTGATCATAAAATTCATGCAAGTAATCCAAAGGAATTCAGAAAAGAACCACAGTAATTTCTGTCACTCGATTAAAAAAAATAGACGCCATTTTGGCAACCATCCTTCTAGACTGTTTCTGCACACACCGACCATCCTCCGTCGATAGTTCAGAGACAGTTACACAGGGGGAAGGTGTGTCCCGCCGGGAGTGACAGTCTGGCCTGTATTTGGTCACCTCCTCCCATGCCTGGAGACTGAGAACTCCAAGGTCCCTTCCAAAAATCTCACACATGGCCTCAAGGCACCTCCTCTTATACGAAACAAAGGAAGCCCCAACCCTCTTCTGGAATCTTAACGCTTTGGTCAGTCCTGGGGTTTGTCAGTGTGGAGCGTGTTTCGTTTTAGGCTTTGGTTGGAAAGAAACCAAACTTGAACATTCCACTTGTGCCCAGGCACCAGCGTGAGGGCGGGCGCCTGGGGCAGGAACCTGGGGGCAGACGTGCGGAGCTGGCCTCGCTCCTCCAACAGCGGGTCACTCAGGAAACTGGCACAACCCTCTGCCCAGCAACTGGGTGGACCATGAGCCCTGAAACTGCTCCCCTATACCCTCTCCCAGCAATCTCACGTGTGGCAATTTGTGGTAATAGAGCAATCTAGAGAATTAAGAAGTCCCTCACAGTCGCAAAAAGCAGCGGGGATGGTACCTAGGGCTGTGGACACGCACGTAGCACAAAACTGGGAACATAGCATTATTCTATCACGAGTCCCAGGTGCAAGCGCCAGAGAGGAGCAGAGAAGTGCTGAGCACAGAGGGCCTCGGAGCACGAACGCACACACAAGGAGGCCACCTTCTGGCCAGGCCGACAGTGCTGGTGATTGATTGATTGACTGGCTGATTTGACGGAGTCTTACTCTGTGTCAGGCTGGAGTGCAGTGGAACAATCTTGGCTCACTGCAACCTCTGCCTCCCGAGTTCAGGCAATTCTCCTGCCTCAGTCTCCTGAGTAGCTGGGGGATTACAGGCTTGCGCCACCACACCCGGCTAATTTTTGTATTTTTAGTAGAGATGGGGTTTCACCGTGTTGGCCAGGCTGGTCTTGATCTCTTGACCTCATGATCTGCCTGCCTCGGCCTCCCAAAGTGCTGGGATTACAGGCACGAGCCACCGCACCCGGCCGATTTATTTTTACATTAACATTGTTTCCACCTTAGCACCATTTGTTATCTTGAGCACAGCATGAGCCGTTCCTTGCACAGCTTTAAGACCGTGGGGGGCCCTTGGAGCTGCAGGAGACGTCCCCCACCCTTGGCCCCATGTGGCGCCCTCACCTCATGGATGGCAAGTGCCTCATGACCACGTCCAGGGCCTGGATCGTCTCAAAAGGGACACTGGGCAGCCGCCCTGAAAGTGCATCGTGTAACGCCTGCAAGCTCACGCAGGACACCCACTTGATGGACACCTTGAAGATGCGATCCTTGCCTTCTCCCGGGAGCGTGACCTCCAGCTCCACCTGCAAGGATCAAGCACACAAGGTTACTCCTCCTGCGAAGCCCCAGGGAGGACGCAGCCCGGCTGAGGTTGGCTTGCAGACACTCCTGAGTGAGGAGGTCTCCACTCAGCCCTCTCGCCAACCACCAGCCACCTGTGGCTACTGAGCACTTGAAATGTGACCAAGGAACTGAATTTGAAACTTTACTTACTTTTGATGAATTTAAATGTACACAGCCACACGTGGCGGGGGCTGGTATAATGACAGTGGTGGAAAACACATCCTCTTGGCTCACACCTGAACAATGAACTCACTACCTCTCTCCTCTCCAGTCTCTGAACTGCCCCTCCCCTCAGCCACGGGTTACACCTGACCTCAGATGCTGTTGTCACCTGCAAACTCCACTCTGCTACTCAGAACCGGCAGTTAAATAGCAATCTGGCCCTCATCCCTCCCAATATGTGGACACACACAAGCCTACTCGGGTGATGTGTGAAGAAACTTCACTACTGGCTGATAATGCTTCCTAGTGTCTGTAAGCACCGACATGACAGGTTATGGAGGGTATGTACTTTATCCTCACATGCCCAGTGACCCCAGCAAAGGGAAATTCATTCATCACTTTTTTTGAGACAGGGTCTCACTGTCGCCCAGGCTGGCGTGCAGTGGTGCAATATTGGCTCACTTCAGCCCTGGCCTTTTAGGCTCAAGTGATCCTTCCACTTTGGCCTTCCAAGTCGCTGGGACTACAGCACGTGCCACCAAGCTCAGCTAATTTTTTAAGTTTTAATTTTGTAGAGATGGAGTTTTACTGTGTTGCTTGTGCTGGTCTTGAACCCCTGGGCTCAAGGGATCATCCCATCTTGGCCTTCCAAAGTGCTAGGAGTGCTAGCGTGAGCCACTGTGCCTGGCTGATTCACCACTTTTTGTACATGAAAACACAGAAACCCAGACTTAAAAAAACAGCCCAAGGTCACGGAGCCATGAACGGGCAGAGATGGGATCTGGACCCCAAAGGCCTTCCCACTCCACACGTGATGCCAGGGCCCCAGGTCTTCAGCACCAGCCTCCCCTACCCTGCCCAGGGCCTGCGGCCTCCACTCTGCACACCTGAGGTGCCAGGTGCCCTCCCTCACAAACTCTAGCTTGCCAGCATGCCCAGGCCCAGTGCTGTTTGGTGGCACTGGGCACATCTGTTCGCTTGCCCACTGCTCACCACGTCCATGCTCGGCTCCCATCTGCTCATCCTTGTAACCCAGGGACTGGCCCTCTTGCCACACCTTGTTTGAACTTCACAGAGCAACAACCAGACTCTGTGGACATCACCTGCGCACCTGGTTCCACCCAAGCACACACCCTTCCACCCAGGCCTGGGCCAGCTCTGGCAGATGCCCTCATGCCCATGAGCACTCAGAGCACTGTTGTGCCTGACGGCCCCAAATTGGCAGAACCCGAGGACCATCTGCCACAGATGAGGGCGGGGAAAAAGGAATGGATCCTTCTAGCCGGATGGACTTTAAACATCAAATACCAAGAAAACCAGCAAGTCACAGAAGGGCACTGCAGCACAATGCCTTGCAGACGTCAGAGCCACACGTACAGGGGACGCAGCACAGCGAGGGAAACTGACAGAGGGAAGGGCCAGCTTCACCTGACTCAGCACGACAGACGGAAGGGCCAGCTTCACCCGACTCAGCAGGACAGCGGAGGGGGTGGCAGGGAGGACGGAATCAAGGCTCAGTCCATGGGGGACTTCAGGGTGGGAGGAGGAAACAGCCGGGCCTGGGTCGGGGGTACAGGATGTGGTTTCATATCACTCTTTAAATATATGTACAAAGCGGGCCTGTGAACAACACGGGTTGGAATTACGCAAGTAGAGTTATATGTGGACTTTCTTCAGCCTCTGCTACCCCGAGACAGTGACACCAGGCTCCTCCTTTTTCTCGTCAGCATGAAGATGGAGGGGATAAGAGCCTTTATGATAATCCATTTCCACTTAGTGAAAAGGAAACATTTTTTTTTTACCTTGTGATTTCTTAAATAACTTTTCTCCAGCTTAAGAATATAAGAATAAACTATATAGGGCTGGGTGTCGTGGCTCATGCCTGTAATCCCAGCCCTTTGGGAGGCTGAGGCAGGTGGATCACCTGAGGTCAGGAGTTCGAGACCAGCCTGGCCAATGTGGCAAAGCCCTGTCTCTACTGAAATACAAAAACTAGCCAGGCGTGGTGGTACATGCCTGTGACCTCAGCTACTCAGGAGGCTGGTGCAGGAGAATCGCTTAAACTCGAAAGGCAGAGGTTGCAGTGAGCTGAGACTGTACCATTGCACTGTAGCCTGGATGACAAGAATAAAACTCTGTCTAAAAAAAAAAAGAAAAAAAAAAAAGAATAAACTATATAATACATATAACATATCAACTGTGTTAATTTACAGTTTATGTTATTGTTAAGGCTTCTGATCAACAACAGGCTATTAATAGTTTTGGGGGAGTCAGGTTATACATAGCCAGGTGCAGTGGTTCACACCTGTAATCCCAGCTCTTTGGGTAGCCGAGATGCGACCATGGTTTGAGCCCAGGCATTGGAGACCAGCCAATATAGAGACTAGGCAATATAGAGAGACCCCTTCTCTGCAGTCCTAGCTACTCAGGAGACTGAGACAGGAGGATCGCTTGAGCCCAGGAAGTCAAGGCTGCAGTAAGCTGTGATTGCGCCACTGCACTCCAGCCTGGGCAACAGAGAAATTGTTTAAAAACAAACCAAAAAAACCAAACAGGTCATAAATAAATTTTTGACTGCATGGGAGATCAGCGCCTGATATGTTTCGCTGTGTCCCCAACCAAATCTCAACTTGCATTGTACCTCCTAGAATTCCCACGTGTTGTGGGAGGGACCCGGGGGAGATGACTGAATCCTGGGGGCCAGTCTTTCTGGTGCTGTTCCTGTGACAGTGATCCGATTGGTTTATCAGGGTTTCCGCTTTTCCCTTATCCTCGTTCTCTCTTCCCGCTGCCATGTAAGAAGTGCCTTTTGCCTTCCGCCACGATTGTGAGGCTTCCCCAGCCATGCGGAACTGTGAGTCCAATCAAACCTCTTTCTTTTGTGAACTGCCCAGTCTTGGGTATATCTTTATCAGCAGCATGAACGTGGACTAGTACAGCACCCCTAACCTTTTTGTGGTTCAAAGGTCAATTGTATAGATATTTCTTTTTCATTAGTGGTACTTCATAATAAAATTCTAAGTAAGTCATACATAAGTAACAGTAACTGAAAGTGCACATTTGGCATAACGCTGGCAACATGGCAGGGATTCCTGCAGCCACTGGTTCCCACCCTTCCGGTGCCTCTCTTTACTTTCAGTTAAGGAAACAGATCTGAAGGGGCTGACTGAGCCGCCGCAGGCCATGCGGCAGGAAGAAGAGGGGCAGGTGCCCGGTCAAACCGTCCAACTCCAGAAAAGGAGACAGAGTCTCTGTGGGCCCAGGACCAGGGGCCTGGCTGCGCATGGTGACGGGGGAACGATTCCAGTACAGACTGGCAGCTGCCTGGTCCCAACAGGAGTGGCCGGGAGGACGTCATTCCCGTTGTCCAGAAACGGCACACGCGGGTCACGGCGTGCAGGCGGAGTGAGCTCGGGAGTGGGAGGGCACGTGTATTCCACACATGCCCCGGCCAGGAGGTGCTATAGACCCGAGCACATCTGCGGCAACAGCACTCACGTGTGGCCTACAGTGCTGTGCCCTGGCACAGATCGGATGCCTGCCGATGCCACCCTTCAGAAACCTCTGCAAGCAAAACTGAGGGGCAATTCCAAGGGGCCTATTTTCCCACAGCAAAATACACTCTAATTTGTAAATGTATTGCAGTCCAGCCTCCGCTTGGCTCGCAGAGGAAAAAACAGCAGAGTCACCCCGGACTCTGTAACTGTCTGCCCAACCCGTGTCTGCAGTGGCTGGCTGGTGCTCGCATGGGGCAGCTTATGGCTGTGTGGAGATTTTAGGATGGCCATCACGCCATGAGGGCAGGAGGCACGCGGCTCTCTGGAGGGCAGGACTCGTATGCATCCAGGCTCCCAGCAGCAGGTGGCCCACACCTGGGACACTGCCACCTCCCAGCAGCTCGAACGCTCGATCCCAATGACCCAACATCTGAAGGTCACTCCCAGCGCTGCTGCCTCCTGTGTTCTGACCCCAAGCAGGTGGCCCGCCAGCCTCCAGCACGCAAGGGGACAAGCCCCGCCCACCTCACAAAGCGCTAGTGTCAATTGTGGCGCAGCGCTAAATTCTGGGAGTGGCCCAAATGCCATTTTCTGAACATGGATAATAGAAAATGTCAGCTCCGGACTCCCATCCAGGGCCTGGAACACAGCGAGGCAGCTGTGACATCCAATCTCCCCAGACAAGCCAAACCGCATGCTGGCCTCCCTGTCTAGAAATCCTCAGGGTGGGAGAAGTAAGACTGTCACAGGAAATCCCTGTTTCAGTGTCATCACACAACTCAGCAACAAAGAGAAAACAGCACTCTAAAGGACGCAAAGCGGCCAGCTCAGGGGCTGACGCCTGTAATCCCAGCACTGAGGGAGGCCAAGGCAGGCGGATCGCTTGAGCTCGGGAGTCGGAGACCAGCCTGGGCAATGCTGCAAAACCCTGTCCCTACAAAAAGAAAATTAGCTGGGCATGGTGGCATGCTTCTATAGTCCCAGCTAGTCAGGAGGCTCATTTCAGCCCAGGAGGCAGAGGTTGCAGTGAGCTGACATCGTGCCACTGCACTCCAGCAGCTGCCTTTCAAAAGGCTATTCCTGCACTAAGTTTGGCTGTGGCCCTGGCTGAGCCCACAGTCTCCCTGTCCTCTGCTGCTGAGGAGGGGGAGAGGGAGGCACTGCAGGCGTGGTATGTCTGGCTGGCCACGAGGATCCCGACCTGGACATGGCCTCCCTGGGGCAGCAGGAAGAGCTGCCACACCCACTGTGTCTGCCAGCCAGGGCTGCCACGGGCCCCTTCCAGAAGGCCCGTGCAGCTCACGTCTTGTTGAAATGTGCCAGGAGGTCTAAAGGCATCCTGGGACTCTGCAGAGCAGCAGCTCTCAAAAGGCAAATCACTGTCCCAAAAGACTTCAGCACCAAAACCAGCCCTACTCAGCACATCTGCAAAGTGTAGGGGATTTCAAAGTCACCTGGTGGGGGACACAGCAGGTACAGGGAGTGGCTGCCAGTCAGGGCTCGGCAGCACTTCCGGACCACCTTGCACTGGGCTGGGCTGGGGTCAAGGCACCTGGCTGGCTGGAGGGACCCTCAGCTCCAAGAGATGGCAGGTCAGCCCCAAAGATGCTTGTGCTGGGCCCAGGCTGAGCAGGTCCCCCACCGCATGCTGCCCAAGTCTCCCTAGGCTTCTCCTCGCCCCCTGACTTCTCTCCCTGAGTCTTCAGGTGCAGAAGCTTCACTGCCTTGGGGGCCCTTGGTCTCCCTTGCTGCCAGACACCCCCATCCCAGGTCAGGAGGCACCAGCCAGGCACTCCTGTGGTCACAGCATGGTTGCGCTGGGCACAGACGTGGACAGACAGGAGCGCTAAGCTACCATCTCCTTCAGCTTCCAGGAAGGGTCTGCTATCAATCAGAGCTGTGGGTCTGCCCTAACTTCCTTCTGGGAAGGAGACTCCTGTGCTCTCCACCACCCCTCCCAGACCATGCCAACTAGACATTCAATGAGATCATTCAATGAGACGCGGCGATACACTCTCAGGTTCATCTCCCACCAGCCGAATCCTTCTGGGCCATTGTCACTCATCTTTGGTTATTTGGGGAGTTTACAGCAGTCTCCATAGGTTCTTGAGCAGTGCTCCTTCTGGTACCTGTCCGAATATTCTACTCAACTGAGCAGAGACGCTCCAGGGAGCTCAGACCTTCCATGGGCCCCGACAAGGGGAGGATGGGGCAGGACCCAGGACTCAGAAGAATAGACAACACATATCATGCCTTCAAAAAAGGACCCAGGACTTCAACCCAAAATGTTCATCAACTTGTATCGTTTCCTGGGTCTCCATCTCCAGTTCCGGAAGGTGAGGGAGTGAGGCCGGGTGGTCTCAGCATCTCCCAGGCCTGGGAGAACTCGTCTCTTTCCACACAGGGGATGGGATGAAGGCAGGCAGGCTGACACTGCAGGAGGGGAGCAAGGGGCTTCATGTGTAAGGGCAACGTGACACAGGCCCTCTGCACAGAGACCTGGCAGAGCTGCCAGAGTCCTGAGAGCCCCCAGCATAATGGAGCACCAGAACCATTCCGCTCTTACCGCAGGGGAGGCATGAAAAAGTACTTTGCAGAAAAAAAGAGAAAACCCAAGGACGACACTGGGACATAATGCAAGAAGGTGGGCGTGGGGACACCTCATTATACAGGCTCTCGCATAGGAGGGGTTAATTTCCGCACCTGCAGAGGTCCTACAGAACCCCTAAGACTAGTGGCAGGAGCATGGTCTGCAACCAGGGAACCCCCATGCTGACCGAACACAGTGGCTTCGAGCAGGTTCTCTGCGTTCTCTGGAACCTGAGCTGTTCTTTTCTTTTTTGTACCTTTCTTTTTTTGTTTTTTTGAGACAGAGTTTCACACTTGTTGTCCAGGCTGGAGTGCAACGGCACGATCTCAGCTAACTGCAACCTCTGCCTCCCAGGTTCAAGCAATTCTCCTGCCTCAGCTTCCCAAGTAGCTGGGATTGCAGGCACGTGCCACCATGCCTGGCTAATTTTGCGTTTTTAGTAGAGATGGGGTTTCACCATGTTGGCCAGGCTGGTCTCGAACTCCTGACCTCAGGTGATCTACCTGCCTCAGCCGCTGATGCTGGGATTACAGGTACCACCCGGGGCCATGGGGTACAGGCCCCAGGCCAGAAGCTCTTTTTGGGGTGTACATGCTCACTGAACTCTCACGAAGCCCCTGGGAGGTAGTTTTTGTTGCCACCTCTCCATGTTACAGGTGAGGCAGTTGAGGCTTGCTGGGTGAGGTGCCCCAGGTCCTGCCACAGGAAGGGCCAGGCCAGGCCTCACACCCATAGCTATGTTTAACCCAGAGTGCGTGTGCAGGTGATTTCCAGAATGACAGGTCTCAAATGTAAATATCAGATACCATACAGACTCCCTCAGCCCCTTTTCAGAAAAACTACCCTGATGCCCGCCCTGTGTGTAAATATAAATATCTGCAGACAAAACTGCGCACAAACTCTTTATGCTCTTCTTTCTTATAAAACTTTAAGTAAAAACAATGCAAATTCAGCACAAAATTTTTAAATGACTACCTTTCAACGCCACGGCACGTTAGTTTGCAAGGGGTGATCACACTGGACTGATGTGCGTTTGGTCCTAGGACCCACTCCCACTGGGAAGACCAACGTCTGTCACCCTGGGCTGGCAGCAACAATGCACAGACCGCCGCCCCCGCTTGGATCCATGAGGTCGCTTTATGCAGGGTCCTATGTCGTCACTTGGCCTCTGCTCAGTCACAGCACATTCTCCCCTTGCCAGAGCATGAGAACGTGGAGGAGCACCACTGGATGCTGAGCCTGGGGCGCCCCGTGGACCATCCAGAAAGGCTGAAAGGAGCTTATTCAAGATTATCATCAAAATGAAAAAACAGCTACTCTGGAGGCTGAGGTGGGAGGATTGCTGGAGCCTGGGAATTGAAGGCTGCAGCGAGCCATGACTGCACCATTGCACTCCAGCCTGGGCGATGGAGTGAGACCCTGTCTCAAAAGAAAGAAGACTGAATGTAGAGAGAGCGGCTTGCCGGCCCCTTGCCCTCCCACTAAAATAGACATCCGTGACAGCAACTTGAGACCCTTTGCACACTGAGCTGGCTTCCTTCTCCGGAACTTGGGGTTTAAAAAGCAAACTGTGTACGCTGTCCCAGAGGGAGTCAGCCTTTCATTCTCACAGTTGTTAAATTCCTGGTTTCTGATGTGTGTGCTTCTTAAGGTATGTGTTGAGATTATTTCTGAGCTAGGTTTCTGTTCTTCTTCTACTTATAAACAACCCCTGCATTGCTCTGGAGCAGCACATTTGTTGAAAGATGTTCCCAAAAAGTCACAACTTCTGGGCAGAAATTTTATTACTTTTTAAATAAAGCCATGATAAGGATAAAGGTAATAAGAGAAGGTGACATTTTAATAAAGCGCTACTCCCGGGTTTGACTCATCCCCATCATTCTAATTTCAGATGAATCACTGGCCACAGGAGACTGTTAACTGTGCCTCACTGCCATGGCTCTCTCTCACACACCCCCATATGAACTTACTTTTCCATAGGTCTTTTTGTAGAGATAAGAGTCTCACTCTGTTGCCCAGGATGGAATTTGTGGTGCACTGAGATCGCTCTCTTCAGCCTCGAACTCCTGGGCTTACGTCACCCTCCTGCCTCAGCCTCCATAGGTCTTTATAATACTGGTGCTTACTCTTTGCCCTTGTCTGGTGGTGGTTTGTGGCTTGTGTTTTGTGTGTGTACGTTGTACTTGAAGGCTGGTGGTTTCCAGTTCTCAATCTGTGTTTGGACCTAGACAAGTTAACTCCTATCACCAAAAACCACAATACACAGAAGATAGTTTTTATGGATCTCAGGACGAAGCGCGTGGCAACGAGCTGCTCTCTCCTCCTCAGGGGAATAGTTTTGTGTATAAGAACAGGCGTGGACGTTATAGCACGTCACGGCACGTGATTCCACCAACGGAACCCCAGGGAACTTACCTTGTCCCTCCCGATCGGAAGGGGCATGGCTGTGTACAGATTCTTCCTGCCATCAAACACGGGCTTCCGATCCCCAAAGATCTGGGTTTTAAAGTGCTGGACCATGTGTTCCACGATCTCCCTGAAACAAAGACAAAGTCAGGCAACACGTCAATAAAACGGAGAACGTGGCATACAAGGACGACATTTTTCTTATGCTGTTAGTATTATTTTTTTTTCTTTTTTTTTTGAGATGGAGTCTTGCTCTTATTGCCCAGGCTGGAGTGCAATGGTGTAATCTTGGCTCACTGCAACCTCTGCCGCCCGGGATCAAGCAATTCTCCTGCCTCAGCCTCCCGAACAGCTGGGATTACAGATACACACCACCTTGTCCAGCCCATTTTTGTAATTTTAGTAGAGACAGAGCTTCACCATGTTGGCCAGACTGGTCTCGAACTCCTGACCTCGTGATTTGCCCACCTTGGCCTCTTAAAGTGTTGGAATTAACGGCATGAGCCACCACACCTGGTCCTCTGATGCTATTTTTTTTTTTTTTTTTTTTTTGAGACAGAGTCTCACTCTATCACCAGGCTGGAGTGCAGTGGCACAATCTCGGCTCATCGCAACCTCCACCTCCTGGGTTCAAGCGATTCTCCTGCCTCAGCCTCCTGAGTAGCTAGAACCACAGGCGCACACTACCATGCCCAGCTAATTTTTGTATTTTTAGTAGAGACGGGGTTTCACCAAGTTGACCAGGATGGTTTTGATTTCTTGACCTCGTGATCCACCCGCCTTGGCCTCTAACGCCATCTTTTAGGCAATTTTGTAAGACCTGTGTCTCCTTTGGGCAACATGACTTCAAACTTCTATAAAGCAGCAAACCAGGCCCACGAGTGAGTTTGTGCTCATGCATTTAGTCAAACACAGGAGAACCTGGTATGCGCCAGGCACTTTATACGCCACATACAGCAGATGACGGACACTTCCAGAACCTCTGGAGCTCCTCAGAGACACTGACGAGAAGAGCTATGAAACGGATGCTTGCTGCTGGGAGGGACAGGGGTTTTAGTGCTGGGGGCTCAGCACTCCCAAGCCCCACTTCCACACCATGACAGAGAGGCCCCAGAAACATTCTGCAAACCTCCTGCTGGCCTTGGGCTCTGCTCCAAAGAGGTACCAGCTTGGCATAGCACTCTTCTGGCATTTCAGGTGGTTGTTTTATTAGCAACAGGGTCTCGCTCTATCACTGGAGTACAGTGTCGTGATCACTTCTCACTGCATCCTCAACCTTCTGGGCAGAAGCAATCCTCCCATCCCAGGCTCCCAAGCAGCCAGAACTACATGCCCAGGCCACAATGCCCAGCTAATTTTTAAAATGTTTTTGTAGAGAGGAGGCCTCCCTTATGTTGCTCAGGCTGGTCTCAAACTCCTGGGCTCAGGTAATCCTCCCGCCTTTGCCTCCCCAAAGTGCTGGGAGTACAGGCATGAGTCACTGTGCTCAGCTCAGAGGGGTTCTGAGGCATTTCAGCTCCACTCACTAAATGCCTGATGAAGCGCAAATGTGAAGAGCCGAGGTCCCTGGCTGCCCGCAAAGGCCCACATGAGGGAAGCACGTAGAGGCCCACGGGATACTTTCACTAGGAAATGCCAGCTCAGGGGATGTGGTAAAGAGGGAGAGGCAAGTCGACCAGCAGGGGAAGTAGCCGACAGACCTCCACGGGGAGGGGCGATCGGAGCTCTGCATGGCTAGAATGGTCTTTCTCCTGAGCAGAGCCTCAGTCATCTCTCAGGAAGCAAGAATCTGCCAAGTCCTTCCATTCCTTTCCCAAAAGACGAGGCAAGCTGGCCTGGAGGGCTTTCCTCACTCAGAATGGCTTTGCTTGGTCCATCTCCAGCAGCTGCAGGGATCTGGCTACCCTGCCCTCCACATCTGCAGTCTGGGGAGTGCCCACAGCAGATGCCCAGCGCCTCTCAGCAACATCTCTGAGGGCTCCACCAAGCTGCATCCACCTCTGACAGTGCTGGGAGACCTGGCCTGGGCAGGGCACGGCCCCGGCATCCATCCCTGCCATGCCCGCCTGGTAGCCAGGGTACAATCTCACCTGGCACCTCCCCAACCTGTTCTGGGCTGCCCAAGACAAGGTGTGCCCTGCAGCTCTCATAAGAGGCCAGCTCATTCCTCCGCGCTCTCTCCAAACCATTACAAAGGGTCCCCAACCTTCAGAGAGCCACATCTCCCTGGCCAGGACATCACCGTCAACTTGAGGTGCAGATGGCTCCATTGGAGGGGGAGGTGGGTTCTACTCACATTCAAAGAACAAATCAGTCCCACCTAATTCAAACTTGAGCTGAGCAGAGTAAGAGGGCACACACCCCGACTCTTTATAAGGCTAGCAAAACCTTTCTGTTGAAACTGGACAGGGAGAGTACTAAGTGAAATCACGGACTGATCACTTATAAACAGAGATAGGAACAAGACATTAACACACTGAATCTAGCAACATGTTTAAAAATAAATCACCTTGTCAAAGTTCCGTCGATACCAGAATCAAAAGATTGCATTTAACATCATAAAATTAATTAACATAAAACAGGTTATAAACCTAAAGACCATAACTGAAAAATGCCTAGAAGAAAACATAAGAGAAAGATGTTCATAAACATTGGGATAGACAAAAATTTCTAAAAACTTTGTCCTTAAAGGAAAAATTCATAAACCTGGCTTCATTAAAATTAAAAACTGTGGCCAGGTGCAGTGGCTCACACCTGTAATCCCAGTACTTTGGGAGGCTGAGGCAGGTGGATCACGAGGTCAAATGATCGAGACCATCCTTGCCAACGTGGCAAAATCCCGTCTCTACTAAAAATACAAAACTTTGCCAGGTGTGGTGGCACACACTGCTAGTCCCGGCTACTCAGGAGGATGAGGCAGGAAAATCGCTTGAATATGTGAGGTGGAGGCTGCAGTGAGTCGAGATCGTGCCACTGCACTCCAGCCTGGCAACAGAGCAAGACTCTGTCTCACCAAAAACAAAAAACAAACAAACAAAAACTTTTACCTATCTCTTTAAGAAAGAAAAAAAAAAGAGATACAGTCATAAAAACAAAAAGCCAAGGCCAGGCGCAGTGGCTCACACCTTTAATCTCAGCACTTTGGGAGGCGGGTGGAGCACCTGAGGTCAGGAGTTTGAGACCAGCCTGGCCAATCTGATGAAACCCCATCTCTAATAAAAATACAAAAAATTAGCTGGGCACGGTGGCAGGCGCCTGCAATCCCAGCTACTTGGGAGACTGAGGCAGGAGAATTGTTTGAACCCAGGAGGCGGAGGCTGCAGTGAGGCGAGATCGCGCCACTGCACTGCAGTCTAGGCAAGACAGAGGGAGACTCTATCTCAAAAACAAACAAACCAAAATGAAAAGACGAGCAATTGACTGGGAGGAAATACTCCACAATCACACAGACACACTTCTAACAACGCGCTTGTACACATAGTATATTTAAGAAGATTTTTACAACTCAGTAAGACACATAATCCAACTTAAGTTAGCAAAAGATTCAACCAGACACATGGCAGAAGAGGATACACAATGGCTGGTGAGTGCATTCACGGATGTTCATCACCAGGCTATAGGGAAGTGGAAATGAAGCCACGGACACCCACCAGAAAGGCTAAAATCGGAAACAGTAACAATACCAAGAGCTGGTGAAGGTAGAGGGAAGTGCTCTCTTCCATGAGGCTGATACGACTACTTTGGGAAAAAAGTGTGGCAGTTTTTTTTTTCTACAAAGGTCAATGTCTATTTACCACCCTGTCTAGCAATATCTGACACAAGGAAAATGAAAACACATATCCACGCAGACATTTGCATACAACTGTGCATAACAGCTCTGAACTGGAAGCAATTCAAGTAAATGTCCGTCTACCGGTGAATGGACACACACTGGACGCTACACCTACACACGACGAAATGCTTGAATCACTGCTACATGCAACGTGACAGGCGTCTCAGAAATGTGCTTGCGGAACGAAGCCAGACACGAGGAGGAACAGGTACACGATGATAACGATCCCACACACAGGAAACTCTAACAAGGAAAAGCAGTCCACGTTGACAGAAAGCAGGTCTGTGTTTGCTTTGGGACAGGGGAGCTTAACTGAAAGGGGCAGGTGCATCGGGGTTGTTAGTGTGTCCTATTGATTTTGGCGGCTCTTACCGGAGCGTATATTTTTTAAAGACCATAGGCCCACATGAAGGCATGCCGAGGAGGTAGCGTGGGTTAGGTTCCAGAACAGCACAATGGAGGAAATGTCACAATAACGCGAGTGGCACAAGGTGTGTGTTCCCAGCACACAGAAATGTTGTTTCCACTGTACTGCAGTCTAGTCAATGAGCAAGAGCATTGTGTCAAAAAAAAAGTACATACTTTAATTAAAAAATACTTTATTGCCAAAAATGCTGAAACAGACATGAAGTGAGAGCATGCTGCTGGAAGAAGGGCAGTGAGAGGCTTGCTTGGCACAGGGCTGCCACTAACCTTTAATCTCTTAAACAGTAACAAACCGTACCTGCAAAGGGCAATGAAGCGAAGCACAAGATGAGGAGCGTCTGCACTTCAGACACGTGCACTTTGTTGTACGTAAATTGTATCTTGATAAAGTTGACATTTGTACAAAATCAATGTAACATATTCTTTAAAAAATTATGACAATCTCAGCCAGGTGTAGTGGCTCACACCTGTCATACCCATGCTTTGGGAGGCCGAGGTGGGCAGATCACTTGAGGTCAGGAGTTCAAGACCAGCCTAGCCAACATGACAAAACCCGTCTCTACTAAAACCATAAAAAAATTAGCTGGGTGTGGTGGCACACATCTGTAATCCCAGCTACTTGGGAAGCTGAGGCATGAAAATCACTTGAACCCGGGAGGCAGCGGTTGCAGTGAGCTGAGACTGTGGCACTGTACCCCCACCTGGGCGACAGAGCGAGGCTGCATCTCAAAAACAAAAACAAAAACTATGACAATTTAAAAAGCATTTAATAAAATTCAACATCCATTCATAGATTTTTTGGAAACAGAGTCTTACTCTGTCTCACAGGCTGGAGTACAGTGGTGCAATCATAGTTCACAGCAAACTTGAAT